CGCGAAAGTGGCGTTGTTTTGGCTTCTGAATCCAACCGCACGGGAAGATCCAGAATGGAAAGCGAAGTTCACTCAAATGGGTAAGGAGCTGGCAGAAATGGTGGATGACGACCAAGCCTTCGAAGATGAAGCCGAGATGGAAGGGAAAATTTCAGCGGTGCGAAAACTTGGCGCGCCGCAATGCGAAGACGCAGGGCTGCAAACCGCGCTCCTGTGTGTGGACCCCGAAGGACCAGATGCACATGTCGCCACAAACGGCAGGGTCCGCAGCTTGTGTTGGGCAAACACCACCCACGCCTGTGTGCGGGCGGCGAAGAACGAAAAGAAGCAAAAAACCAGTAGCAGTTCTAGCAGCGCCGGCGCCCAGAAGCCGAAGGAGGAGGAAAGCAAAATCAAGCCCACCTACGGCGGACGCGGCAGGGTGGACTGGGAAGAAATTTTCGATGAACCGACAGCGGTGATTCGCCCAAAGCGCCTCTACACCAAGCGCGACGTGCAGGTCAAGTCGGGGCATGAGTACTTCAACTATGTGCTTGATGTGGAAGTCACGCAGGGCGGAAAAACAGAAAAGATCACGCGCTGGATCGGCCGGAATAAGTACAAGAAGCTCGACAAAAATCTATCCGACGAGCAGGCTACAAAAATGGCTTACGAGGAGGCGCTTGCGTTTTTGCGGAAAGCCGTTGGCTTGCGGTGGGCAGAGGAGCAGAAGCAGCTCGAGCACGGATACCACGGGGACGTAAACCATAACTTCATTATCCTCGATCCGATTGCAAGCGAAACGAACAACCCGGTCCCGCAATTCGCAAACGACTTCACCTGCCGCAATGTGATGTTCAAAGACCAAAACTACTGCGACAACTACCTGATTCTGCGCGAAACAGTCAACTGCACTTACGCACGCTGCAGGGGTCACGGCGACGTCGTGCTGCACAAGCCCTCAGAAAACGACGATTTTACGCCGCTGCACGATGTTGGCGTCCCTGTGGAAAGCGAGTTGAAGTGGACAACAGCAAATAAAGAGCTCCATGAAAAAGTTGCTCTTCCGCTCCTGCAGCGCTGGTTTGGTAAACAGGCCGCAGACGGCGATGACATTCCCTCCGGAGACTCCAAGCCCGACGGGGAGAAAGCCGTGCCGCCGCTGCCACAGGAAAATCTGATTCCGCGCGAGGAGGGAGTACAAGCCAGTCCCGCTGCTGTGCAACAGCAGGCTGCCGCAAACGAGCCTGCGCAGCCTAAGCCGCATGAAGAACCCGCTGCACCTGCGCCACAGGAAAAACGGCAACCCGACGCCGAGGCACAGGTCGAGGACCTTGCGCAGGAAGAGCAGGCAGAAAGCGATACTCCGGCAGATAAAATTTACAAGTACAATTACCGCGGACACCGTGTCCCGGACGAGTTTGTTTTCAAAACAGCAACCGAGGGGCAGAAATATTCCGACCCGTTCCCACCGATGAAGACGAAAAACACCTTCTTTGTCGCAGGGATAAACGCCGGCTCGGATGACCTGCACTTTGGCGGCGCAGGCTTGAACAAACGCTTCCAGGAGGTCCTCGGAGATAAGAAAACCAGCACCCTCTGGGACGTCGCAGCGCAGAAAAAATTCCACATCGAGCTCGAGAAAAAGCTGCTCGCGCAACCAGGTGAAGTGTTCTCCTGCGACGACAAGGAATTCCTCGAAAAATTCAGCAAGCGGTTTGCGGTCGGGATTGCAACAGGAGGTAAATCGCGAACAGCAACAGTCTTCCTGTCTGCAGAAAAATCAGACCGGTTCCGCGTCATGGTCTACGCCGTTGGCCCACGCGGAGAAATTTGCTCGAAAGAAAGCTTCTTGGCAGGAATACGGCTTACGACAAAGCATATTGTGAACGTGATCCACCACTATAACGACTACGCGCAGCGGAAGATCAAAACAGTACGGATGCCACTTTTGTCGGGCGGGCTCTACCGCAAACCGCGAACCAGCCCGGCGAAAATCGCAGATGCGATTCTGGAAACGTTCCTTGAAGAGTACAGCAAAATTGAAAAGAAAAACCGCTTCACCGTCGAGTTCGCCATCGCAGAAAATGCGTTCTCCGAGGCCTATCGTGAAAACAGGGAGATCATCGTCAGCAAGAACGCCAAGTCGGTGTGTTCTCTTGGCGCAGGCGCGGTCCGTGCGGCAAGCAAAAAGAAAAAGAAACCGCTGCTACCGGACTTTGGCCTCGACTTTGGCGATGAAATCGACCTCAGTCTCTTCCCCGTCGAAAGCAACCTGCAGCAGGACGAGGAAATAGAAGCGGGCGGCCATACGCTACAGGAATCACTTGAACCGCTCATCTACGAAGCGGTCGACACCGAGCAGGAAAGAATACTACGATCGCTGCCCGAGATGTTAAATGCTGGTCGGCTGTTCTCTGTGCCAGCTGCGCAGGGAAACGAGCCCACCGTCGTCGGGTACGTGCAAACGGGAATTTGCCTTGTGGTTAGCAAATCGCACACGAAAATCACCAGCATCTTCGGCCTCCCGCAAACCAACAGTGCCATCACAGTGCCGGCGCGTTTCGCGCACAAAGCAGTTCTGGTACTCGCCAAGGAGCTCGAGGATGGAGACCCAACAAACGCATCCACGGCGCGAAACATCGAGGCGTCGTGCTTTCTAAACGGGCTTTTCCGCAACAGCGTCGTGCAGCACCAGAAAAACTGCAAGCAGTTCGGCTTTATGTGCCAGCATCTTTCGGGAAACGAAGAGGAGCTGACGGCGGCGCAGAAGCGACAAACGGCGGTCTTGAAGAACTTCACCATTTGTGCGGGTGTCATGCTGTACAAGGGAAAAATCTATATTCCGCGAGTAGAGCTCGAGATCGACAGTAAATTCTTCAACAACAAAACGCGTATGAGAATCTACGTCGTTGTGCGCGTCCACAGGAGGTGGGCGCTGCACAGTAAAATCAGAAGAACCAAGCAAATGGTAAAGGAGTACTTCAACTGGCCGGGGCTGCAGGAAACCGTCGAACTGGTAGTGAAAACCTGCGTGCAGTGCCGACTGAAACATGCCGCAGAAGAGCCCATCGCTGCGTACACGCCGAATCGCCAGCCAAAAAGGCTGTTCCAAAGCTTTGTCTTCGACCACATCACGGACTTACCAGAAAGCGAAGACGGGTACAAAAACATCCTCCGCGTCCGAGAAAAACTAGTCGACCTTGGCTGGCTGATACCAACAAAAACGAGGGAGCCACAGGAAGCTTGGGATGAGATGTGGAAGTTCGTCTGGGCGCAAGTAGGCTGCCCGGACGACACGGCCGCGGACAACGCGTTCAATTCACTTGTCGCGTCCTTTGCGGACATGGGCACACTGCACAACCACGGTAGAGCAAACGAGCCACGCGACCAGAACCAGGCGGAGCGACCGAATAAGGAGGAGAAAGACCGCCTGTTCAAAGTGTGCTCGCGCTTCCCCAAGACGTGGCCGAGAATTCTTCCTCTGCTGCAGCTGATCGACAGAAACGCGCCCCGACGCAAACTGAACGGGCGCTCCCCTGCAGAAGCCTCCTGCGGACAGAAACTCTGCCTTCCCAACGCGCAGATCTTCTCCGCCCTCCACCAAGGACGCGCGAACCGCGACGAAGTGATGGAGTCGCTGCGAGAATTCCGAGATGGGATTGTGGAAAATGCAGAGAAGCACAGCATTGACAGCGCGCTTTCAGCACTAAACCGCCGGGGCACGCTAGCGAAAACGGAGATCTGCGCGGGAGACTTGGTAATAAAAAGGAGTGACGCGACAAGCAAACCGACGCTGCAGTATGGCCCAGACCCCGAAAAGGCAAAGGTCTGGATCGTAGATGAAGTTGTCGGCGAAACAACACTCAAGCTAACGGCAGCGGCCTCAATCCCGGTAGTAATCGACGGCGAGGAAGTTGTGATCAACAGCAGCAGCGACAAGCTACCGGAGGAAGAGCGGCTGCAAACGGCAACAGGCTCGGCAAGGCAATTTATCAAGCTATGGCTGGACGAGTACATCAAAATTTTCAGCAATCCGAAAAAAGTCGGCAACCAAGAGGTCTTCGGCGTAAATGTATTGAACGGGAAATTTATCATTCGGGAGGAGACGGACATCGAGCAACTCGGTAAAACCAGGCACAAGATCGACAAGAAGTACACGTACCTCGAGAAATACTTGCCCCTGAAGGCGGACTTCATCTAAACTAGCGCGGTCCTCTTCTTCTGGCAACTGCAAGACGAAAATTTTTTCCTTTTTCTTTTGTGTTTTGTATTTCGATAGTAAATTACGGGTACATAATACGATCCTGTACAGAAAATACCGATATGAACGTAAATTTTTCGTTGTTCTCTCTACAAGAGCAAGGTTATGCCATGATCTCAGTGTATAAAAACCAACTTCTCTTCCGAAGCAAAAACTCCGCAAGCGAAGCGAGCTGCAATATCGTTTGTGTCAATGGAAAAAAAAAAAAATATTCTCGAATAGAAAGTGTGGCGCGAAAAGCCTTGTCCACCTGTGCGATGTTGAACACAAAATCATAATCTGATCCAGTAGCACGCAAACTGCCTCTTTTCTTTCACACAAATAAAAGCAAATAAGAGAAAGATGCTACGCGTTCGTAAATTGCACACAAAATGTAGAGCTCTCCCGCAAATACGCGATTATCATAGATGCTACGCGTTCGTAAATTGCACCCAAAAAATGTAGAGCCCCGCAGCAAAAGCGAATAAATAGATGCTACGCGATCGTAAATTGTAAATTACACGTCGATCCCGCTGCGGCAAAAATGCCATGCAGCTGCAAGCACGATATAAATGGGGTCCTACCAAGCAATTTATGTAAAAAAATAAAATCAAACAAGTAGGTAGCTCTCAAACGAAGCTCTTCTTTCATGTACAAATAAATCTGGGTCCTTGCAACAGAGCGCCGTCGCGACGCCGCCCAGGCCAAAAAATGCCTGCGGTGAACGCAACACAGCTTGCAAGAAAACTCCATGCAAACTGCCACTTATGCAAATTTTCCACACAGGGATTATAAAATTAACACTGCTAAAGTATATTAATAAATAAACCGTCCTTCACACCTCCACGTCCAAAGCCGCAAAATGGGTGACTTGCAGCAGCAGCCGACCATCAAGGACAAGAACAAGGGGAAGAGCGGCTCCGCGGACCAGGACAAGTCCAAGAAGAAGACGAAAATGACCAAAGTCCAGGGTGCCGCGGCCTCGTCCAAGCACAACCCCAACGAGTCGGAGAAAGAGAAATCGTCGGACATGGACCTGGCGGGAGCTGCCCACGCGGGCACGGCCTTGTTGGCCAGCAAAAAGGACAAGGGCCTGATTGAAAAGGAGAAGGACAGGTTGATGGAGGAGCAGGAATCGTCCCAGGCGGAAGCGGACAACACCAATGGAGAATGGGATGAAAGCGAATGGCGCCTGCAATACGATCAGTGGAGATCAGACGGCCATGAGCAACGTGAATTCTACCATAAAACGTTATGGAGTAAGAGAATTTATTTTCTCAAAAAGTTCTATAGAACCGAAAAACAGTTGACTCAGGCCGAAGAAAACGAAACTTTAACGGGTCTCGAAAAAATTAAAAATCTGATCGGAACTCCATGAGGACAAATCTATTAATGAAAAATAAGGCTGTTTTTTTTTGTTTTGTAAATGTGAAAGTAAATGCTCAACCGCTCCTTCGGGAAGCACCTGGGCACGAAATCGCACCTGTAGAAACTACATCTATTTGTCGAAGTCTATTGCGGAATTTCACCATTACAAAATAGGAGTAAGCAAACTGTTTGTCATGTTCCTCTGCCAGAACATTAAATCGGCCACATAACTGCACAAGGCGATTAGATAATGAAAAAGTAAGGCTTTTGCAACTTCATACACTATACGCTCTCTGTGATATGTAAAAAGCAGAGCGTTAATGTAAAAATAAAAAATAAAACCATAAAAAAGTAAAAAACAGGTAAGAAAACCCATAAAAAAAAATACTGCTTCTACACAGGCACCCGCAGTGCAACTTTTACTTCTCGAATACGGAAGTCAGGTGTTACTACAAATCGGTTCGTGCTTGTGTTTCGTTTTTTACTGAAAACAATAGCAAATAGCAATAGTCACCCCTTCTTGTTGCCACGCGGTGCTTATGCATGAAACCATGCACCGCTTGTGGTTGTCATTGGGGCAGAAAAAGTGGAAGCGTAACTACTGAACCTCCCCACAGTAGTGCTACAGAGAAAAGTAAGTATCTTAGCGTCGCTGCGTCTTCCAACATAAGTGAAAACTACAAATTACCCCTGTATTTGAAAGCGGTGCTGTCGCAAAACCGCGTGCGCCGTGGAATCATACAGGCAGAAAAGCGCATAGCTGGCGTTCGGCGGCAGGCAAAGCACACCTGCAGCCAGCCTTCGGCAGTGCAATAGCCAAACCGAAGTACGAAGTTTGTCAGTAGAGAGAGAGAACACAAGCTAGAAGACAACAAAAATTAGCGGCAGAAACAAAACTTGTATCATTGCGTCTTTGTTGTGTTTCGTAAAATCCTCGTGCTCCACCAAATTTTTTTGAACAGCGACGACTCCGTGCACAAACATTTTTTGCTTTATCTGTTGTACAGTAGGCGAGTCACAAAATGTCCGACACTATCACGAAATATGTGGATTTGTATAGCGACAAGTACGATAACAAAAATTTAGACTACTACCGTGAAAGCACTGCTCAAACTCTCTTACCTTACTCGCTAGAGGAGCGCGCAAGTTATCGTAAGCAAATAGTAGAACAGAGCGAGAAGATCTCCAAACTGCGCCTCGAAAAGGACTATCTGAAAAAGCAGAACGGCGAGGTGTGCGCAGCGAACGAGGAACTCGGCAAGCTGCTCGACCCTCCTAGTTTTAGTTCTGGTATGCTACCGCCAACGGCGGTGATAGGTAACTTAGAACGCGAGCTGCACTATGCAAAACAGCTGCTCACAAAGTTAGGCCGCGCTCGCTACTTCAACGAGCACGAAGACCTTGTGTACAAGGTGGAGAAATTTGTAGACGAGAAATTCACGCACCGAAGCCACTTCGGCACGCCGCCCTTGCAAACCACTTTCAACACCTTCGGTGAACCCCACTAGGCTACAAGTGCGATGCTAAGTTTCCTCTTAGAGAGACAAGTGACTTTGTTACAACAAGAAATATACAAAATACTAATACTACGTAATTTTCTTTTTCTTTTTCAAAACAACATTCCGGTCCCGCCGCAGCGAACCGCAACAGCGACGGGCCGACAAATGCGAACTTACACTCCCACAACTAAACCGCGACTCGCAGAGCAGAAGACTAGGAACCGCTGCAACCTCGCGAGCCGCAAAGTGCAGTACTCCGACACGTGCTGGGTGCTGGACAACCTGATCGAAAGCCCCGGCGTCGGAACCGATTGGACTTCAAGTGACGAATTGTACTACGCGCTCGAGGAAATCGCGCTCCGCGAGAAACGGGGTGCATCAACGATTTTCCGAGCGACACGCAGGGGCCCGGACACGGAAATTTCAACGTCGCTTCGGCAATTTTCAAATCCGATCCGTGGTGCATGGCAAAAACCAAAAACTACCGAGTGGCAGTTGTTACAGTCAGCGACGGATTTGAAAACTATCTTGAAATTTTCTCGTGAGCCGGTCCTACTGCAAATAGCACGTGCGGGACCAAGCCCAGCACCACTGAAGCAAGTCTACTTCGCATTCGAAATCGAAACGATCACGACGAAAGCAGCCCTGCAAATAGTCGCAAGCCTATACGTGGCGGCACGCGCGGCCGAAGCGCAGGCGGTGAAAGAAGTCTTCTTCCTCCGCGAGGTCGAACAACAAGTAAGCGACGCGATCCTGCACCCAGAACACAAACAGCCTCCGCTCGAGACCTGGCTGCAGAAATACCCGATCTTCTTCCGCCACTACTGCAAACTCCCCCTCTTCTTCAACGCCGATGTCAAGCGACACCGAAATCTTCAAGATCGATCCGGAATTCGCGGGTCACGCGCAAACCCCTGGCGCACAACAAACCGCACCAAGCCCCGGGCCGCATTCGACCATGCAGCGACGAATGCCGCAACCGCTGCTGCCAGCTGGGTCAGCAAGTCAGCAGGGACAACCCGGAGCGGTGCCTGTGCACCAAGGCGGAAAAATACCAGGAAATCCGGTCGACGTGGAGTACATGAAAATGTGGTATCCCGAAACGGCTGGCAAGATTGAAAAAGAGTTGGACGACAAGCAGGAACAGATCGCGAAATTGCAAGAGCAGGTCGAGCTGCACAAGCAGACGTCGCAGAAATTGACCCAGGCGCTGCATTCGATGGCAAGCCAGCAAATTCGAATGCAAACGCACGGGAAGATGCTTCAGCAAGAAATGCTGCAACTGTTCTATGACGATAAGATTACTAAAGATGACTGTAAAGCAAATCCCTTGCTCCTCGACTGCTTATACAGCCAAATCTGGTATGAGTACTTTGATTACAACATTTAGTTTTAAAAAAATTTTTTTTCGTCTTTTCAAGTAGTAGAAAACTTTTTTCTTCAAACGGGGGGATGGATGTAGCGACGGGTGTCCATAGAAACCGTCTGTACACCATTCTCACCGTGTTCGAAGCGCAAAATAGCATTACAGATTTGCGAGGACAACATGAAAAGATCTTTTCTCCGCAACAACAAATTCCATTCAACAATAAAAATGAAGTAGATCACGAAAATCTTCTTGTGTACGAAAAAATGTAGCAACAATTTTCCAACACTAGAAATTGTAATCCGGACTTCATAGCACGCGAAATTGGCGAGGCAAAACAGTGATGATGAATTTGTGCTGCTTCCAAAAACCATTTTGAACCCAAAAACAGTTAGGAAGTTTGAGACTACGACGTGCCGCAAACTGCATTGAGCACGCCTGTAAATCTTGAAGTGCAACATCTGTGACAAAGCTTGAAAGTAAAACTACAATTGTGAATTCTTGTTCTCTGTGAAATCATCTTCGCGAGAAACTTGCATTCTGTGTTCCACTAAGCACTTTTGCTACAGCCAGTTGCGTGGTTTTATTCCCGCCGCGTGTATATTTCCCCGCCCGGGCAGCTCTTCGACTCCTGCGTAAGCGTATTGAGTACGAAAAGCGATCAACCATGCGAAGAAGTTCCGCCCTTCAGACGTAGTTCTTCTGTTGCTGGAGCTGGGTGTCCTTCCGTCCCTGGAGGTGGTGCTGTTGTAACTCAAGAACTGGTGGCCCCGTAAGTCTACTATACTACTTGCGTTATTTCTACGCAGGTAAGCACTATCGTATCACTATGTCGGTAAAAATCGTTGACGTAGACAAGACCGCCTTGGCGCTCACGCCAGAGTAACCAACTGCAATATAAAAATATGTCTGGGTGGTCTGGAAGATTCTTGCCAGATTTGTGATATTTGTCTGGCATGACTCTGAACTCTGAAATGCATAGCCACGAAGGACAAGGAATCGTCTTGCCTGGTGTCATGCAAAAGCGTAGTCTGTCATGCAGAATACGCAACACATATTAGATAGAAGCCTCCTGAAAACTTGTCATGCTTCGGCACGTACTGCAGTGTGCCTACCACTCCCAGACTTGCATTCCAACCTTCCAGACCCAGACATATTTGCAATGCATACAGAGGGACGCATTTTCTTCAACCAGTTCCGCCCGGGCGAAAAATTGAAATTTGTCTCCTTCATCGGCGTATCCTGTGCAAAAGCAACATCGCACCCGTAGTAAGTAATCGCAGTCATGCGTTGCAAATTTATTTCTGAAGTTAAATCCACACTACAAATACAAATTTCATTTCACATGCTGAGGAAATTTGTCATGCGATTTATGCTAGTGCGCTCCTGCTTTTGCATTTCATACGGCGCGGGTCGTGTGGGGAAGAGTTGGCTCGCGTCAAGATTTGCGGAACATGTGTGGTAAGTTCGCATGTCAGGATGAAGAAATAAAGAGAGACGCTTCCCCATAAAATTCCTTGCATTTGTCCGTTTTTTGAAGGGTTGTAATCGTTTTATTTACCAACGACAAATATATGCTGACGCCTAGGTGGTTGCTTCGCTCGATTTTGTTTTTTTTAATATGTGAAAGTGGTTCGGATGCCAAAAATAAGCCGTTTGATTCTTTCTTAACCCATTGGATGTTGGAAAAAGCAACAGACACCGGGCAACGCTGCGGCAAGAACTCTCTTTGATTCAGTACTGTATTTTTCGTACTTGATTTACTAGGTACGATACGGTCCTTTCGGATCGCGAATATGGACCTGTCAGGATTGAAATCGTCAAAGTTGAAATGATTTGTGATGCATAAAACGGATACCCGTTTGACCTATAGTTTGTAGTCGGTGCATGACAAATTTTCCCGGTTCTGGAAGCGAGTCTGTCATGCGGCTTAGGGCAAAAGAGCTGCCTTCTGTCATGCTAGTCAGGAGTCCAACTTTTGACCCTTGCCAGGACTATGCTCTGCCTCCCGTGCGTCCTCTGCAATAGAGTCAGTTTTTGTATCGCATTTCATGCATGACAAATCATTTCAACTTTGACGATTTCGATCCTGACACTCCCATAGCGAAGAGCGACGAGATATTCCCGTGCCATGGACGGGCGACATTTTTTTCACGCGTGGAGAAGGTTATCCCGTGCAAAAGTATCGTACTCGTACTAATTGCAGTTATGCATTACAAATCTTTTTCTCAAGGCCAATCCGCATTACAAATTTAATTTGTAATGCTGAGATAATTTGTATTGCAATTTATACTAGTACGATACTTTTGCAGTTCATAAAGGTGAAGCAGTTACCAAAGGTATCTGGGCGTTCGCGCTGAGACCAAATGACCAGGTAAGTTAGTACAAAAAAATTGAAAATTACCGTGACAAAATAGAATAAGAGTCTTTCCCTCTGTTCTTGCGCAATTTCTATTCATCATCATCGCTTTCGACTAGGTTTTGGGCCAGGAAGAGGGTTCTTTTGCTCTATCTGAGTGTCTTGAAATCACAATAAAATCTGCAGGACCCAGATAACGCCACTGATCATGAGAACGGCGGCGCGGAAGATCCTGGCGGCGCGCCGCCGGGTGGCTCCAGTAGAACGACGGACAACGACGACGACCAAGAAAGCGCAGACAGCAGCGAGACTCGGGGCGCCTCCGCTACCATCGTTATTCTGGATTGCGAAGGATCTGATAACCTGCTGGATTCGCAGCAGGAAAACACCATCGCGAAGCAGATCCAGGCCATCTCTTTTTTTCTGGCGGGCCGCGGTTCCGTCGTGTTCGTGGAGACAGACCGCCTGCGGACCCTATCAAGTGTAAAAATGTCTGGGTCTGGAAGAATCCGAACTTGTGATGCTGCATTTGGATTCCAAAAAAATCTGTATTGCATGAGTACCAAAGGGAATGCAATTTTTGCTACGCTGAGAAGGCATTTGTCATGCGGAATAGGCAGCGCGAGGTCCTCAAAAAATCTGTAATGCTAGGGCGTGCATCGCAGACATCATGGCCCAGGCAAAACATGCGTGACAAGTCTCAGAATCTTCCAGACCCAGACACTTTTACGTTTGATAGACCCAGAGCATCGACGATATCCTACGAAAAAAGTGTTGCAGTTACACATTTGTGCCCAAGTCAGCAACACGAAAATTCTCTGCGTCAGGAAGAAAATTTGCAATGCAGAGATCAAAAGGGAAAACGCGGATGAAACAAGAAGGTTCCTATGCATATCCAGCATGACATACCTTGTCTGTCTTGCTCGGCCTGCAGCACAATGTGTTGTAACTGTAGCACTTTTTTCTTGGCATAGACGACCTGGCCCGCATATTGGATGTCAAGCTCGAGGATGAAGATCTGTGTATGCAGTAAAAGATTATAATAATCGCACTAGGTGGTAGTTGTGTGAGGAATCAATTGCATTTACAACCTTTGAGATGGGGTTTGTCATGCATCGCTGCAAGTAGGTTTAGTGCGATATTAATTCTTTTGCATTGCATACTGTATAGCCTGCAGCAACTTTTCGTCGTGGTAAACAAGGAAACCCTCGTATCAAGACTAAAAACGTCCCCACTGCCCCCGAGTTGTCATGTAATATGGCGTCCTTGTTAGCATTATTTGTGTTTCTGATGCGCACCAGCCTCATGAAAAGTATTTTGTATAGTGTTTTGGAATTTGTGATCCTCGAATCAGCATAAAATGTTACCATATTTGTGATGCCGCTGCGCAGTTCGCCAAACAGGATTACACTACGGCCTAAAACTTGTCATGCGTATACAACCAAAGCTGGTTGCTTTGCCTACGCCGCTTTAAGTATTGCCATCTTGACTCTGGGGAGGTGAGTACGTTTTTACAAATGATACCCCGGCAGCTCCTTTGGCTTGGAGCAGCTGCTCGAGAAACAAAAGCGGTATCCTGTGGAAAGACGTACAACCCGTCCTCTCCAAAGTTGTCTTTGTCATGCAAATCTGCATACTCTTACTCACCTGCAGTGTCTCTCATCCTCAGCAGGAGCTCCATGGGAGACGCTTTATAAGCGAAGTTTTGGCTTTTCGTTTTTGTCTCGCTAGAATCAGGATGCCGCGGGTGCGGCAGCCAAAGCTATTTGTCTTTGTGTAGGAGCAAACTTCCCTTCGGGATTTTGGTTTTCAACATATCGACTTTGGGACGTGATGGACGTTTTGGCACAGGATGAGCGGCCCTCTTGCCTGAAGATCGGCCAGGAGTTCGCAAAGGAGCGAAGAAATTTATGGGATTCTCAAACGTTACACTGGCTCTGTTTGCAGTGACATGGTTCTCCATTTGAAGATTGCATAGGCAAGTAGACTAGCAAACCCAAATAAAGCGAAAGGGGTGACAAAGAAGCTTGGTCGTCGTGCCATAGTGATTGCGCGGGACAAGAAGTCATGTAATTGTAAGTACAGCGACCAATATAAAAACGCTTGCGAATGCCATATTTTTTTTTCCGGATTCCCACATTCTTCGCACGCACTAGCTCCACAAGCACCACTGCGGTACAGGATTGCGTCACCTACTCGGACCTTACCCTAGAGGACGCGCTAGACCAGCTTTTCTGCTGCATACAAAGGATATCCTCCGCAAAAGCATCGCACTAGTACTAGTAGGGGCAGATCGCATGACAAGTTTCATACGCACCATAAGTAGAAACAAATGGAATTTGTGATGCGGAGTTAAGTATCTAAAATTAGTGCGATACTTTTGCACTTGATAAAGGAAAACGCCGGTGAGCAACCTCGGTGGTATAAACTCGATAAGAGGACCGTACAAATTTTATACCTTAGGTAACAAGCGCTACGATTATAAAAAGGAACACCTCCGCTGCTCCAGCTTCTACAAATGCCATACACTACGCGTGACATAACGCACGGAGATAATGATGCTCGTAAGAACTACAGGCAAGATCAAGATGAGCAAAAATATTTCATGAAGTGATACGAATTCGACGCGCACGACGAGTTTGTGAAGATTAACAACGAGCAGGCTCATATCTTAGAAAAAAAAGAACTGCTGCATAAAGAAGAAATAGGTGACTTGGGGTGAAAATTCGAATTCCTTATGTGAAGAAAGTAAAAATCGCCGCGGAACACCAGGTCCCGAGTGCGCGCGAGCCGTCACCGGATATCTTATCCCACGAAAAATAAAAAAGTGTCACAGTTACACATTTGTAGTCAATTCAGCAACACAAATTTCTCTGCATGAGAGAGAAAGCTTGTAATGCAGAAATCCTACGGGAAAACACCTATGAAACGAGGCTCCTATGCATATCCGGCATGACAGAGCTTTTCCGTCTTGCTTGGCCTGCATAGACTATGTGTGTAATTGTAGCACTTTTTTCTTGCGATATATCTGAACATGGACGCACTGGAGGACACGCTCCAGGAACTTCTGGACCTCGTATGATTTGCGAAAGTATATAAGCGTACTAGTAGAAATTGAAATCGCATGAAAAGTCCCCTCAGCATAAGAAAGGGAATTTGTAATGCGGATTTAGCATGAGAAGGAGATTTGTAATGCATGACCGGTAGACGAGGTCCCAGACCGAAGTGGTAGGCGCTTAGGGTGAACTATGTATGTAGCGCTTAGGGCCCTTCCGTACGGCCAATTTGTATGTCCCGCAACGGGGTTCGCCTAAATCGGTCACTTGTATGCAAGGCGTTGGGTTACCCGGTCGGCAGAGCCGATCCACAACGAACGAACGAACGATGACTGCGATTATGATTAAAACGAGTGCGACGATGCTTTTGCAGTCAATACCTCGAACTGGCCGACTACTCCCGGGATTTGCTTTATGGCGTTCTCAAACGTTACACTCTCAATCGTTACATGAATTTCAATTTGTCATGCAGGACCACTACCACGCTTCTCACAATCAAGCTTCTTCGCATGACAAGTTCTCGACAAGCTAAATAGCATTGATTACAATCCGTGCCAAATCTGTAATGCAAGACGCGCAAGGTCCCCCCTTTCACTTTTGCTGTTCTCGCATCACAAACTCATGCAACAGCTGCGAACGCTGTAACGTTTGAGAACGCCATATGCTTCCGATGCTTCTTCGAACAGACGACCAGGAGGACTACGTGGATCATTCGCGGGTATTAAAAACTAATTACATGCTTATGCTGAAGCATTCTTCACTGATGAAAGTAATTCGTCTACTTCCGCATACTAGTTATAAACATGGAACCAGATCAGCCAGCACTTTTTTTTTCCCAAACTAGCCGCGAGGTCTACCTCTTTTGGTAGAAGTGCAAACCAGAGCATCTTAAAAATTTGGTAGAACAGAAACAGCAAGAAACAGCAGAGCAAGAGCTTGTCTTGGTGGAAGTGCAAGAAAAAAAGTGGTTGGACCAGCAGCAAGAGTTTCACAGATGTACAACTAGAGCCGTGTGCTGTTGTTCTGCCGGTAGTCGTTGAAAACTCGATTACTTACTTATGAAATGTGGAAGTGCTTGATCTTTGCGACTCATCCCACTTCCAGGCCCCGGCTAGTAGCATCGCCTCTACTGTTGCCGCTGAGTCAGCTTCTACCTCCTCTACTTCCGCGGGTGAAGCGAGCAAAGCGAAAGCGGCTAGCAGCGGAACCATCGATCCGGTAACGAAGTCAGACTGGACATGCAAAGTTGACTATCGCAAGAAAAAGTGTTACAGTTGCACATTGTGTTGCAGGCCAAGCAAGACAGACAAGCTCTGTCATGCCGGATATGCATGAAGCCTCCTTTCATAGGTATTTTCCCGTAGGATTTCTGCACTTCAAGTTTTCTCTCTCATGCAGAGAAATTTGTGTTGCTGAATTGACAACAAATGTGTAACTGTAACACTTTTTTCGTTCGATATTGACGAGGAGTTAAGCCTGTCCTTCGACGACCTCTGTCGGTCGTCCGTGGCGGAGCTGACCCAGATCCTGTTGGACGCGCTTCAGCGGCGGCCGCTCGACCTGCCACATGATATTCTTTGCAAAAGTAGAAAAATCGACGTATTAGTACGTCTACGTGGTATTATTAAAAACTATTGCAATTGTACACATTTGCTGCTCAGCATGTAGAAGTTGACAAATGGAACAATATTTCATGCTGATTTAGCTTGGGAGAAAGATGATTTGTCTTGTATGACTGCGATTCGACGTACGAGCACGAGTGGAAGAATACCTTTTGCATCGAGGATAACTGACCCGGCCCAGCAAGTCGCGTACCTGCAAGCTCAGCAGCAGAAAGAGCAAACTATGAGGAAACAAGCGCGGGGAGGCGCCGGGGCGTCTTCAAGTAGTAGCACAACATCACTCGGGTCCTCGGATCTGCACAAGTTCGACGCTTCCATGCAGGTCTGTGTGACCAAGTTCCAGCGCAAACCCTACGTGCGGTACGCCAACGTCCGGGCGCCCCAGATATGGAAGTGTCAGAATCGAAATTGACAAAATCGATGCACAAAATCGATGCCAGTTAGACCTACAGTTTTTTGTGGGCGCATGACAAATTCTCCCCGTCCTGGAAGCGAATCTGCCATGCGGTTTAGGGCAAAAGAGCTGCCTTCTGTCATGCTAATCAGCAGCCCAACACCGAACCCGTGCCAGGACTACAATCCGCCTTCCTTGCATCCTCTGCACGAGAGTCGCTTTTTGCGTAGGATTTTATGCATTACAGATCATTTCGATTTTGTTGATTTCGATCCTGACACATCCATACCAGATTGTGGACAATTATTCGAAAAAGCTGGAAGCCGAGCTGATAGGACAGTGCACAAGAACTCGAACTCCCCCTGCTCCCCCGCATTTTCCATGCAAAATGCAGAGTGGTCCACATCGTGGCTCGTGCCTTTAGACACTTTGCGCGTGAGTGCCGAATGAACAGGACTGCGCTTTTCCATTTCAGGATTTGTCATGCAAACGCTACATTTGTGGCATTGCTTCTGTTGCTGCTCATGCTATACAAATGAGGAAGAGGGGGAGTTGTGCACCCTCATAACTGACCGCAATGGTCCTGAAGCAGCGGCACTTCGCGAAGCTCGTACTCGTCACGAAAAGGATCCTCGAGTGTCTCGTCGAAATGTTCGTGTTGCAGCTCGAGGCCGACAGTCTGGAGAAGCTGATGGCAGGAGCACCAGGAGGGTCTACGTCATCTGCGGCTTCGTCCATAGGCGACGAGCAACATGCGGGTCGCGCTAGTACTGCCGCGTCTAACTCGGAGAAAAACGGCAAATCTACGACCAGCGGAACGTCCACCACGGCGACAGGAACGCTATGAGAGTGCACAAGAACTCTCATCCCTCCCCCTCATTTGTATATGCAAAATCCGAAATCCTATCGTTGTGTTGTAGCTGTAGCACGGTTTATCGCATGACAAATCTCGGAAGGAGCCCAAAGAACGCTACTACGTTAGGCACATCAACTTGTCTTGCACAGGCTCCATGTGTTGTTGTTGAGCTGGTGTCTTTATTGCTGTCCATGCGAAACAATTACCAATGAGGGGGAGGGGGACGAGTTGTGCACTCTCATAAACGCCCGAGCTGGAACAAGAAGAAAAGGCCGACGTCGCCACGTCGGGCCCTGTTGCAGCAGCAGGAGATCCTGCTGCTCTATCCAGCACTTCTGCTGCATCTACCATAAACAGGACCGCTGAAGTAGACACAACATCACCAGCACCAACCGCGGAATTATCGAGCACAGTCAATCACGACCCAGCACCATCATCAATACTGGGGGACAGCGAGCCTGTGTCTTCGGAGACCACGACCAGCCGAGCAAAAGAAGTAAACCGACTCTCTATCAAAAGGGAAAATCTCCCCTGCCCATACTGCAAAAGTGTATTTGTGGAAATTTGTGATGCCGATTTGTGGTCACAAATCGCGTCTGTCTTGCAAGAGGGCAACTCCGCAGGCCCCGCGGCATTGTGCAGGTAGTTTCTCATGCTGTTGGTCCTACAGCGCGGATGTTTTTCATGCTAAGCGCCTAGGCCGCAACCTCTCTACTCGCGCGTAGTATGTGTATGGGCCTTCAGTGCTTTCCAGCAAGACAGCTCGGATTTGTGTACACAGATCCAGCATCAGCGATTTCGTTTTGATATGGGGAGGGGGGTTCTTTCGTTTTGATACTCTCATCGGCACAAACAGTGGCATCGGGCGGCGGCAGCAGCTCCGCCACCGCTAGCAGCACAGGCGGTGGTCGAAAACTGAAGTCTATCAAATGTAAAAATGTCTGGGTCTGGAAGAATGCAAGTTGTCATGCTCAATCTGAAGCATGCAAAAATCTGTGTTGCATGATTACCAAAAGTCGTCCAGTTTTGGCCAAGTCGGGGGGGAGTTTCTCATGCAGGATAGGCATGAGAGAGATCGCACAGAATCTGTCATGCTAGGTCCTGCATTCCAGGCTTCATGGGTCATGGAAAAGCTGCATGACAAATCGCGCATTCTTCCAGACCCAGACACTTTTCCATTTGATAAAGTCGATTACGGGGGAGTCGGTCAAAGTGCGAAGTCTGCTCTCGTATGATAGCCAGATTCTGGACAAGCTGCTACAGCAGTGGGAACAAAATCCAGTAGTGCTGCAGATTGAAAACGAGGCTTCCACTCTGGAGATACAACAACTAGCGACGACGTTATCTTCTTCCAGCAACGTCAAGGCTGTAAACAGAATGAATACTGCAGCGCAAAACAAATACATAAACTCGACGTCTTATCCTGTGCAAATAAAGTATCGCACTCGTAGTAATTGCAGTCATGCATTTACAAATCTCGTTCCCAAGGAAAATCAGCATGACAAATTGCATTTGTCATGCTGAGGAAATTTGTCATGCAATTTATACTAGGGCGATATTTTTGCACAGCATACGTCTTCGGTCCTCTCGTTTCGCGAGGAGAGCCGGCAGCTGGCAGCGACATACCGCAACCAGTTAGAATCCAGACTCCAGCAGATCTACGTGTCGGAAGTGAATCAGAACTTGGACAAACTCGTCACCTTATGCACTGCACCTCTGTGCCTGGGTCTGAAAATTTGTGTAGTTGCTGCGTTCGACCTTCATTGCAGCAGGGTGGCCGTCGCTGTCCGCTAGTACGGCAGAAAAAATCGACTTAAATAATGTAATGTGCGGAGGCCTGCAGCTACTGACTTGTTGCTAAAAACACGCGTGACAGATAACTGCCATCCTGTTCATGCATCACCCGATGAAAGAGCTGCTGGCAAGAACGCACTCCTATTCATGGATCACAGATCTGGTTCTAGTCCTTCACATTTCGCAATCACAAATCCAGAATATCAGAGACAACACGTTTGCATTTGATACACCATCCTCCTTGAGCGGCTGCAGCTTCCGTCGGGCGTCTTCGGCTTCATGCACAACGCAAGCTACGACGACAGTAGTACGCAAGCCATCCTTCGCGATTTTGAGTACAACCACTCTGTGCAGAGCGTCAAGATCGCGTCCCACAGCAGCATATCCATCAAAATTGCAAAACTATCGTACTCAGTACGTAATCGCTGCATAACAAATTTTTTGCTCAGCGCGACAATGAATTGGAATTTGTCAACATATGTAAATTATTAATTACCTAGTGGTCTTCACGCATGATTGCGCTTACAAATATGACTGCGATAGTACATTTGCACAGGATACAGCATCAGCTCCGACTCGAATTCTCCCATGAAATTGCTCGCAAGCAACTACGGAGGAGGCCCCAACGCAAGAACAAACAATGGCGAACAGGGTGGATCGAACGAAATGAAGATGAATGCAACCCCGAAGACCACTTCATCCGCAACAAACATGGCGGCAGATGAAACTACAGAGAGCGGCGGTGCAGTCGTAGATCCCCAAGACTTGCTCAGTGCGGGGGAACTGAAAAAGGCGAGTCTGTATCCCAAGGAAAACAAAAGTGTAGTTGCAGCTAAATGTATAGATAAAGATATAAACATTTTTTTTTTTTAATTTCGGCATACACAAACTTGATGCAGCTCTGCATGAAAGACAAAACGTGAATACTAAGTCACTTAGAACTCACAAGGGCGGAGGAAAAGGAAAACAAAGATGAACCTCGATGGGGGTTGCTGAGCAACTACATGTAAGGAAAGCCAGAACTTGTCTGTTTGCCTTGGTCTGCATGCAAATTAAGAGTCGTGTGTAGTTGCACACTAAACACTTTTTTCTCTCCATACTCTTTTAAAGGAGACAGTGGACCGGTACCGGCATAAGCTGCGGTACGCCGTCCAAGAAAGGATCCGGATGCACAACGAGAAAATTGTCACGCAACTCATCGTATGCACTGCAAAAGTATCGTACTCGTAGTAATCGCAGTCATGCATTACAAATCTAGTATATCAAGGTAAATCCGCATTACAAACTACGCTTGTAATGCTGAGCCAATTTGTAATGCAATTCATACTAGTACGATACCTTTGCAATGCATACATCGGGATGTTCCGGTGCTAAAAATCTCGAACAATTTGGTGAAGCCGCTCCACCCGAATAAAGACGTATGTGTTCGAAGTTCTTTCTGTCACCCAAGACGGACAGGCCACGAAAAAGAAAAACTCCGCCGAGATGAAGTAGATGCGCTGGGACGACGACGCGAAGCCGAAGTCGCTGCTCACTATCCGAAGATCCAGAGGGGAGGTTGCAGCATCCTTTATCGAGGCCGAAGACACAGTGACACGGAAAGTAAGAACGAAGGCGCTCGCTCGGGCTAGGGCAGCTTGGGACTTAAGTACAACAAAGATTGAAATTACAGCTACCTACGTAAAAACAAATAAAGAACGTTGCGAACAAGGCAAGCAAATTTTAATTTTCTTATACTTCAACTTCTTATTATTTCTCGAGACAGATCATGGAAACTACAAACTGCGACCCTACTCAACAATATTTTCAATAAGGGCACCAGCACAGTGATATGGCACGCGCGATGGTGATGTCACCGGCAGATGAGCTTGAGCATAGAGACAAAGCATAGCACGATTCGAAAACCGCTTCTTTCATAGAAAACTTTTTTGTAGGGCCAGCAAGAGGAGCCCAGTTTGTGCTCTGCGGAGAGGGCATTTCTCATGCGTAATAGGCATCAGTGAGCCCCCTAAATATCTGCAATGCTAGCTCATGCATTTGCATTACAGACATCATGGGTCATGCAAAAAGTGCATGACAAGCCTGGCAATCTTCCAGACCCAGACATATTTGCAGTTGATATACAAAGTTGGACCAGCACAATCTAGAAGTTCAGAGAGCTGCGACGTCCACCTTCGAGAGCAGCAGGGACAGCGAGCAGAGAGATGACCAGATGACACTGAAAGTGAACAACAACAATCTATTTTCTCGCCGACGAACGAGAAATATTGAATTTAAACAGCACGATCCGTCTACTACAAGGAAGTGAGCAACGCTAGACTTAAGGGCGGTGGTAGCTTGTAGTTGTAGTTTTGTCGACAAGAATTAAGGGTTGTAGTTGACTGAGTTCGGTTTCCAAGAAACATATTCAAGAAATATTCTTCGACGTCGACCAAGTGCTGTGCACTACTACTAGTGCAAGTAAGTACTTATCATGACCCCGTCTCTTGCAAAAGTGGTCCCGCTGGTGCAGCCAGCACCACCGCCACCCCCACCACCAACGCTGCTTCAAGTCCAACAGCAATCACCCGGTGCTCCTGGGGCCGCGGGTATCAAAAGCAAATATGTCTGGGTCTGGAAGAGTGGAAGATCAAGATTTGTCATGCAGGTTTTCCATGACGACCCATGAGGTCTGTAATGCATGGTCTAGCATTCAACGTTTGTAAGAATAACCCAACAAGGCAACGCTGGAGCTCCACCTTGCTCGCGGGCTTGGCTGGTAAAGCAGGTCAGCCACATCTAGCGCCCACTGGCCGTATGCACGCGTAAGAAATCGGAAACGGTTCGGCGGATGCGGTCGGGTGGTACCTGTAGGACGTGGAACGGGTGTCCACCTAGGGGTATTGGCAGAGGCTAAGCCTGTTCTAACGCCACGGTATTGGCAGAGGCTAAATCTGTTCTAACGCCGCCCTGACAGGAGTTAAAGGTCAAAGCGATACGATACGACGTGGCAAAAACTGGACTCCTCTTGTTAGTCATGCAATACAGATTTTTTTGGAATCCAAAGACAGCTTCACAAGTTACCACCTTCAAGATGACCCAGACGCTTTTGCATTTGATAGCGGGAGGCGCAACACAACTGAATCGGTCCGGCTCGTCCCATATGCATTGCAAAAGCATCGTACTAGTATAAATCGCATGACAAATTTCCTTAGCATGAGAAATGAGATTTGTAATGCGGATTTACCTTGAGGATGAGATTTGTAATGCATGAATGCGATTAGTACGAGTACGATACTTTTGCACAGGATATCCCATCATGCGCTGGGCGGTTCTTCACATCAGCAGCCACCCGGCGCTCCAGCTATCGAGAGGAAAAATCCCGCCTCCCCATATTGACAAGGTACGTTTTCGAAAATTTGCGTTGCTGATTTGTGGCCACAGATCGTCTCGGTGTTGCATGAAGGCAAATCGTCCACAGGCTCCGCCGCATTCTACGGGCGGCTTGTCATGCTCATGCTCCTACAGCGTAGACGTCTGCCATGCTAAGCGAGCCAAGACCTGTCTTCTCAGGCTTGGCATGGGCCTGCGGTCCTTACCAGCAAGACAGATCTGATTTGTGTACGCACGCCCAGCGTCAGAAACTTCGTTTTGCTTATAAGGAGGGGGGATTTTTCATTCTGATACCAGCGCGGTCCTTCTCATCCGGGAGGAAGAAGCCGCAGCTCTATCCTGTGCAAAAGCATCGTATTCGTATAAATGCAAGTCTTGCATTACAAATCTTTCTTTTAAGGCAAATCAGCATTACAAATTTTATTTCTCATGCTGAGAAAATTTGTAATGCATTTATACGAGTGCGATACTTTTGCAGTTCATAAGCTCCGAAGGCAAGCAACGTATCCTGTGCAAAAGTATCGCGCTCGTATTGCAATCATGCATATACTAATCGTAATCTTTTTCTTAAGGTAAATCAACATGACAGATTTTCTTGTTTCTCATGCTGTCTGAGGAAATTTTTGTATAGTGCATTTATAATACTAATACCACGAGCGCGATACTTGTTTTGCAAGTCATACGACGAGCGCGAATTTGATTTTTGGCATCGGCTACAGCAAGACCGCCACGGAGCACATGGACAATATCAAAAGGAAAAATCCCCCCTCCCCATATCAAAACGAAGTTTCTGATGCAGGATTTGCGTACACAAATAAGATTTGTCTTGCTGAAGAGGAATGCAGCCCCATACTAAGCCTAAGAAGAGAGGTTCTGGCCTAGGCGTCTAGTATGAGAAACGTCCGTGCTGTAGGCCCATCAGCATCACAAACCGTCTGCACAATGCTGCGGAGCTTGTGGAGTTGCCTTCTTGCAAGACAGACGTGATTTGAGGTCTCAAATCAGCAACACAAATTTCCGGAAACATACCTTTTCGGTATGGGGAGGGGGTATTTTTCCTCTTAATAGACAACGAAGCGTCTTCCTCATCTGCGTGGTCTACTATTCTGAGCAAAAACGGAGTACCCACACCAGAGTCAAGATGGGGGTGTCGAAACACAAACCAAAAGTTTTGGGTGTCGCGCATGACAAGCTCCTCTCTGTATTGTAATGCAGTTTAATAGCAAGTGCAGCAGTATCACAACGCTATCTACGTAATATCCTGTTTACAGCATTGCTGCAATGCTGTAGTCGTGTTTTGGAATCAATTTGCAATTTGCAAATTGATTCCAAAACACGACTGGAAATGCCTCATCTCATGGAGATGCGCATTGCAAATCTTCCGGTCATTGCGCATTTGCATGACAATTCAGGGGTGGGGACGTTTTTACACAGGATAGGGTCTTCATCTTCCTCATCCTCCTCCGAGCTGTCATGCTCATCCAGCATATTTTGTGCAAAAATATCGTACTCGTAGTATATTGCATTTATGCATTACAAATCGAAATCTCTTTCTCATGGCAAATCAGCATTACAAATTTAATTTGTGATGCTGGGCTAATTTGTAATGCAATTTATGCTAGTACGATGCTTTTGCATTGCATACAGCAGCGAGGAAACTGATGACGGCCGTTTTTCAGAGGGTCAGAGTTGTTCTCATGTTGGTGTTGAGTCACCACGACGACCTCGCGGTCCACAGAGTGGTCGAGGTGTTGATTGTGATTCAGTTTCAGGGAGTACTAGTCGTCGGGAGATGATGAATATTTGTGGACCCAAGCGTGGTCAATACGCGGAGCAAGGGCCGCAAGACGGTGACGGCAGGGCCAAAATAATACCCGCAGAGCAGACCACCGACAGGGGTGCTGACGCTGACGAGGCCTGTTTAATGACCAGTGGGCCGGTTTCGCGCAGCGGGGCACCACTTGGACAGAACAAACTACGCAATAAGGGAAAGAAAGGCACAAAGCCAGGTAGTACAACGGCGCTTTCCAAAAATCACGATGTTCTTGCTGCTCCGAGGGAGGAATCGTCGAGAGGTTTTTGGCAACATCTATGTTCTTTCCCCACGACCAGCGGTGCGCCGGCTGCTGGTGCTTCATCTTCACCTGGAGGCGCAATTTCGTCAAGTTGCTGCACTACTTCTACAACTTTCGGAACGAAGATTCAGTCGGTTTTGCGCTGCGGGCGGACTCTGATGACGTCGTGCATGGTGGCGCTAGCAGCTCCTAATGGAGGAAGAAAGAATTCTTCAAATAAAGCGGACTCATCATCCTGTTGTGGATGGTTTTCGTTTTCCGGCCAGTCCTGCTGTTTGGCCGCGCCACGACAACTCTTGCTATCGCAAGAAAAAAGCGTTACAGTTACACATTGTGTTGCAGGCCAAGCAAGACAGACAAGCTCTGTCTTGCCGGATATGCATAGGAGCCTCGTTTCATGGGTGTTTTCCCGTAGAAATTCTGCATTACCTCTCATGCAGAGAAATTTGTGTTGCTGAATTCACGTACAAATGTGTAACTGTAACACTTTTTTCGTGGGATACTTGCTGTACCCATTTTATTATCTGTTCCGGGATGACCACCAGACGCAGAGGAAGAACGGCTATGGATTGCAAAAATGTCTGGGTCTGGAAGATTGCAACTTGCCATGCTAAATCCGAATCATGCAGAAATCTGTGTTGCATGAGTGGCAAAAACTGTCCACTTTCGACCAAGTTTGGAGAGAGTTTCTCATGCAGGATAGGCATGTCAGAGACCTCACAGACTCTGTCATGCTAGGTCCCGCATTCCAGACCTCATGGGTCATGGAAAACCTGCATGACAAGTTTACACTCTTCCAGACCCAGACATTTTTGCATTTGATAACGGCAGTAGCAAGACTACAAAATCGCGCAAATCCTCGCGCTATCAAATGCAAAAGTGTCTGGGTCTGGAACAAGATTCCGAAATTTGTCATGCTAGTCTGGCATGACTCTGAACTCTGTATTGCATGGGCGCGAAGAGCTCCTTCTCCCTGTCATGCAAAGATGCAGTTTCTCATGCAGAATACGAAACTCAGAACCATGAAAAAAACTTGTTATTCCTGGCAGCGCACTACAGTGAGCTCACTATTGCCTTCCTTGCATCACAAGTTTCCAGACCCAGACACTTTTACATTTGATACGCGCCCGAAATGGATGGACAGCATCGTGCTGAAGTACTGTCCCTACTGGCTATCCAGGACAAAACACCCATCCCCATCCATTTTTTGCATGACAAGCACGGGACTTTATGCATGCTTTGCATGACAAATTGGATGGGGAGGGGTGTTTTTTTCTGGATGCTGGCGTATGGTTCTCTACCCCTGCTTGCTGTTCCACCAACTGTGCCGAAAAAACACGAAGCTCACCTATCAAATGCAAATATGTCTGGGTCCTCTGGGAGATTGCAAGATTTAATGTCGTGCTAGTCTGGCATGACTCTGAGCTCTGTATTGCGTGTCCGCGAGGAGGTCCTCTTGGCTGTCATGCAAATAAAGCGCAGTTTTAGTTTGTCATGCGGAGTACGCAACTCAGAGCCCCCGCGGAAAAACTTGTCATGCTTGGCAGCGCATTGCAGTGTGCTCACAACTGTTCCCTGCCTTGCATCACAAGTTTCCAGACCCAGACATACTGATTTGCAGTTGATATCACCGGCTGGCGAGTGATTTACCTGCTCGACTTTCTCGCGATCTGGGTTACGCTCACGATTCAGCAGCCCCGGCTGTTTGATTTGATGCACGAATTTTACTTTCACTCGCCGGAGTGCAGGAGCCAAGGTGGGGTAGGAGTGGAGGACGAGGAGGTCGACAACATCAGCACTACAACTGGACGTCGAAGCACCTCCACCACGACAACTGCTGCCTCAACATCCTCTTCTTCCAACGCAATGGCAAGCGCAAGCATGAGAGATTCGTCGACGACCGCCCAGAGCTATCCAGGAAAAAACACCTTCCATTTTTTGCATGACAAGCACTGCAGTTTATGCATGTTTTGCATGACAAAGACAAATTGGATGGGGCTGGGTTTTTTTTCCTGGATAAGAGCAGTTCCACTTCCTGTTCCGGTTTCGATTTGTTTCTCCACGTGCTGGTGCTGCAGTTCTTCAGCCACATGAGCTTCCGCAAGGGGCTACAAATGTTCACCTACCTGAGCCTGATCTGTGCTTTCATCCGCGCCATTCACATGTGCGTCCGCCTGTCCATGTTTGTCGTGGAGGCCTGCGACGAATACTTTCAAGACTTCACGATGAACGACGACGAGGATGAGGAAGAAGTAGACCTTATCAAAACGAAAAATCTTCCCTTCACCCCATATCAAAACAAAATTTCTAATGCTGGATCTGCATTTGGATACACAAATCATAATCAAAATTGTGATGCAGTAGAGGACTGCACACAGAACAGATACAGATCCTCAGCCTAGGTAGGGGCCTCTTGTTGTAGGCGCCTAGCATGGTAGACGGCTACCCTGTAGACCTTACAGCATTACAAATCGCCTGCGTATTAACGTGGCGGACAGCTGCCTGAGTGTGCCGCCTTGCAACACTCACCCGATTTGTGGCCACAAATCTGCATCACAAATTTTCAGCAGGAGGATGCGGCTTCAATATGGGGCGGGGGGACTTTTCCTAATGATAGCCCTCCACCACGGGGCAACATCTTCTATTGATCTTCATCATGGTGAAACTGGAATTCTGGATGGGGATCATGAGACAACATTTGCTGAGGAACATGGACAAAATGGACAATATCGAGATGAAGTAGGCGGTATTTTTGCGCAGGAGCAAGCTACGCACCCTGGTCCTGGTGTTGATATCTTTGCGGCCAACTACACAGACGACCACCAGGACGAACGCGGGGAGGGGCACCACATTGTCCCGCAGGGACTGCTGGTCCGCTCTGCTTCTGCCGTTTCGAGAACAAGAACAGGAGAGCAGTATGAGGAGCCGACTCTAGGACGTCGTCGAGAAGGTCAGGCTACATCAAGAACAACAGCCGTTGACCCTACATACAGGAGCAGGGAAGAACTTGCCCCTGCGCAGCTGCAGGAGCAAAGTGTAGTGGACTTGCTTTATAAAGGTTGCGGAGAGCAGAGAGCAGACACATCAACGAGGACGGTAAAGGCGACGGATGAAGTTGAAGCTACCATAGACCACAAGTCAGCATCTGTTTCCACAAGCGCGGCGCATGGTCGACCTGCAAGCGGATACGACGGCCCAGCTGGGACAAGCTGCGAAGATGTTGGAGGAGCATCGACCTCTTTGAGCCGCCCCGTGTCGGGCGAATTCTACTTTCCCGGTGGTCGGGCCCCTGTGGAACAAGTTCCTTCTGGTACAGCATTTGTTTCTGGTGGTTTTGACAACACAAAAACAGCTCCTGTAGACGTCGAGCCACACCTGATAATACGAAGGGCCAACTCGGCCTACTCTTACTCGTCCAGCACCTCCACGGCGCGCCCCGGAGCAGGTGCCCCTCCTCCACGTGCAGGAGGTGGGCATCAAATGATGGCGGTAGGAGCTCCATCAATGATGTCTAGCACGACCGGGACTTCGAACAAAGGCTTTCGCAAGTCGAAAAGCACTACCACGCCTGGAGGTGGTCCGTTCGCAGGAGGTGCAGCTGCACCAGTCGCGACTACTTTTTGCACCAGCTACAAACATATGCATTGCAAAAGTATCGCACTGGCACGTACGTAATAATTGCAGAATACAAATTCGCATTCGCCTAGCATGACAAATGGAATTTGACATCGGGATTTAAGTACCTTGGGAGCGAGATAATTTGTATATGCTTGATTGCAATTACAAGTGCGGTACTCGTTTTGCAGTGGATAAAGCAGATGCGCAAGCAGGCGATCGAGTCCAAGATCTTGAAGCGTGAAGGTGGTGCTGGTGGGACGACAAGCGCGGGCGCGAGTGGCGGTGCCCTTCTTGGAATAAGCAGCTCATCTTCCGGTGGCCCGACTTCGAACGGCATGACGAGTCAGGCACTTGTTCTAGCGAGCTCCGCATCCGGGCGGGTATCAAATGTAAAAATGTCTGGGTCTGGAAGAATGCAACTTGTCATGCTAAGTCTGAAGCATGCACAAATCTGTCTTGCATGATTACCAAAAGTCTTCCAGTTTTGACCAAGTCGGGAGGGAGTTTCTCATGCAGGATAGGCATGAGAGAGATCGCACAGAATCTCTCATGCTAGGTCCTGCATTCCAGACCTCATGGGTCATGGAAAAGCTGCATGACAAATCGCGCATTCTTCCAGACCCAGACACTTTTGCATTTGATAGCGGGGTCGTAGTGGCAATAAAGCGAAAAAGAAAAAGAAGGAAAAGAAAGAGAGAAACCGCAAGTCCGCTCGTCGAGAACAAATGTTGGCGGCCCCCGCGAAGATGACTGACAGGAATTATTACTACAGGGCTGAAAATCTGGATATGGCGTTCTCAAACGTTACATTCTCAACTGTTACATGGATTTGTCATGCAAAAGCACCTTAGGGCGGCAGATGATCTAGCTGCTTCGCATGACAAATTTCGGGAGGGCTAGACAGCATCTAAATCTGCGCCAAACTTGTAATGCAAGAGGCGCAATCTTCCTCCTTTCAATTTTGCCAGTCTTGCATTACAAATCCATGTTGTAACAGTTGAGAATGTAACATTTGAGAACTCCATACTGGACCCGTCGAGGACTTCCTCTGTCGGAGCGGCAGGCAGTCCGCCTCGTCTCGGTGGCGGCGCGGCAGGAAATCATTATCCAAGAAAAAAACGTTGTTAGTGTAAATTTATGATGCGCAACATGCAAAGTGATTGCGTCTGTCATGCTTGGCAAGCATCGTAGGGTCCATTACAGGGCGTTTTCACGTACTAGCTGCGCATGACAGGTTTCTGCTGTCATGCCAGACAAATTTGTAATGCTGTTCCTCCAAAAAAGTTACACCTACAATGTTTTTTTCTTGGATAATCATGCCACGAGGAATACTGCTAGTGCGGCCGCTGCAAAAGCTGATGTTGAGCCCCCTCCGCCCGCAGCGGGGGGTGGAAGAACAGCGACTACGTCCTCGAACAAGAGAAAATCCAGTACGAATCAAAGGAAGACCGACCACGTGAGCAACAAGCAGCAAGTAGCACTTGGGCTCGACAACTCCGACAACTACACAGATGAGCCCGAAGAACTGCGTCTGTCTAGCCAAGGAGCGCTGTCAGCGTCAAGCGGCGTGGCCACAGATGACTCCGAGTCCGAAGCAGATGATGAAGATGTCGACTATAGTTCATCTTCTCCTTCCTCCAGTATCCGGCGCATCAAAAGTTAAAGTACCGTACTAGTTGTAGAAATCGCATTGTTCTTCGCATGAAAAATTTCCGCAGCATGAGAATTGTATATGCGGACTTACTTACATGCCTGACTGCAAGTAGTTCGAGAGCGATACTTTTGCAAGGCATATCTGCGAAGACGGACGAAACCGATGACCTGGCCGCGGCGATTTTGTTCTCGGGCACGGAAACCAGGAGACGCATGCAAGAAAATGAAGAAAAGAAGAAACTGAGTACTAGAGAGGCTCAAGAACAGGAGCACCAGGGCGGTTTTGGGATGTTGAAAGTGGTTTGTTCATCTGCTCGTGCTGCGCAAGAAGCGGACAGTAGATGCAGTGCTCCGACGGAGCGTGGACGAAGTCGAACTTGTACCGCCCAGCCTGCTCCTGAGGTTCTTGTACAGGAACAAAATGTAAATGGTTCGAGTTGTCGTCCTGCTGGCCGCGCCGCTCAAGAACATCTCTACGAGAACGAGCCCTCCGCCGTCCTCCGCGCCGCCCAGTCCACTCAAGATCCGAGTTCTTGTCCTCAGACGAACGACACGAGCAACGTGCTGAAAATGAAGAACGAGGACCCCGAGCAGGAGGAAGATACTGGTGTTTTTCTAATGGTAAATGCGGATGTGGAGCTCGATCACAACACGACCGCGACTACGATTGTCCGGACGGTGACGCCCCCCGCCTCGTCCTCGCCCCACATGGCCTACTGCCCTTCGTCGTCCTCTGCAAGGGCTGGTGCTGCTGCTGTAAGCGCAGCGGTTCCCCTCCTGGTTGGCACCGTGCCGCCTCCCACGGGAAATGCGGTGCCGCGCAGCTCGTCGAGCAGAGCTACTGTGGAGATGCACAGTGTGGAAGACCACCCGGTGTGGCGGGGGGGTGGTGCCACTACTTCTGCGGGAGCCGCCAGTGGCACTGTGGTGCGATCCTCGCAGCACCTGTACCGAGGTGTCGAGAAGCAAATGGAGGAAGTGATGAAATTGAAATCGCAAGCAGAAAAGGAGAAGCGCCGGCGAAGTGGAAAGACCAAGAACGAAAAACCGAAAGACAGCACCGCGGCCGCACGGCAGGAGGACGTCGCGCGCGACCAACTTCAACTTCATCCGTCCAAAGACATCACGACACCTCCCCCGGGGACCGACGGCGCAACTGGAGGAACTGCCGTAGTGACGAAGATGAATAGCGGCACTGTAGTCTCGTCCCCAGTTAGAAGTTCTTTGTCCTCTTCGCCAGCAGATAACGACCATAACACGAGCCTGGCGACCGAGAGAACCGCGACTACTACATTCGCCACGGTAGTACCACCTTTTGGGGGAGCAGCAGCAGGAGCAGCTGCACCTGCTAGTACTACTGCTACCAACACAAAAACGCCCTCGAAGAAGATGCTGCTGCACCCCATCGCGCAGAAGCTACTCAGCAACCTGTACAGGGACGTGGTCAGCCGGAGCGGCTCTCTGATTCTGACGAATCACGACGACGGAGGTGGTGGTTCCTCAGGAAGTAGTACTCCGAGAAGCAGTACTTCCACCACGTCGCCGTCGGTGAAGAGTGGTAGAGAACTACAGGGAGTTCTTGTGGGTCCTCGTCCTTGTCGACCTGATGTTCATCTTCCGGAGGCAACCGCAGAAGTGGTCATGGTTGTGCAGCATCAAACCAGAGAGGACGAGGACGACGATGTGGTCTTCTCTGATGAAGCTAGTAGAAGAACTTCTTCTTGTTCTAGGAATCAGAACAAGAATAAAACTGAGCCTTTTAGTTTTATTCCACCAGGCAACGGAGACGTAGTGCCTGCTGAAGGAGGTAAAGCTTGTTCTTCGCCTTCCGAAGATACGACAAATAAGACCACCACGGAGACGAGGTTCTTGTACGACAAAATGAGAGCACCGCCACCGAGAAGCGGCTCTTCCTTGGTGTCCGCGGGATCTTTCCTGACGATGAAGAAGCGCTCGAGTAGAAACAGCCTCTCGTCTATGAGATGAGTCAACAACTCCCCCTCTCCCTCATTTGTCATGCAAAATACCCAATCCACCCGTCCCGTTGCGTCTGGGCCTGGGGACTGTTTGCATGACAAGTTCTGGTAGCCCAAATAGCATATTAGCCCAGTGCAAATTTTTTGTCATGCACAACCGGCGCTCTTGCTGATGCTTGTAGTGCCGTTCATGCTATACAAATGAGGGGGAGGGGGAGTTGTTCACTGTTATATCGTCCGAAAATTTCAACAAGCTGACCGGGTCCCGAATCTCCCGGGCGTCGTCGCGGGGCAGTAGAAAGCTGAGCGTCAGCCTTATGGAAGCGTCAGGATCGAAATCAACAAAATCGAGAAGATAATTTGTGATGCATAAAATCGATACCTCCAGTTGGAGCCTCAGTTTCCAACGGGCGCATGACAAATTTCGGGAGCACCTAAATCCGGCGCGTCGCGCTGTTTGGGAAAAGAAGACTGCTCCTGTCATGCTACTCTGACCACAGCGCATCGCCTGCTTTCCCTGAACAGGCTTGCCATCGGTCTCATTTGCCTGCTCCCCAACACAGGCCGTACGTGCCCTACATTTTATGCATAATTGCAAACTTTCAGTAAATTGGATTTTGTCGATTTGGATCCTGACACTCCCATATGCCTCACCGCCCAGGACATGCTCAGCGAGTCGCGAAAATCCTCAGGAATTTTTTCGGACATGTTCCCGTCGGGGGTGGACGAGGAAAATGGAAATCCAAATGCGGATGAGATGGAGGACCGACAGCACTCCGAATCATGCGTCGACCGAGCGGAACAACTGCTGCAGGCCGAAGTAGAGGCGCAGGCGCACGCGGCCAGGCTCGCCGAAGAGATTGCGAGATCGCAGGAGCGCCGGAAGAAGAAGGAACGGAAAGAACGGAAGCGGAAGAGTTCTTGCAGGAATAAATCTTCTCTGTCTACTTCCGACAGAGCAGAAAGCAATCGCCACTGCACGGACCGCTCCAAGATGAACATGGGGGGTGCGCAGACGCCACGGTTCGGCACCAGTGGGTTTTGGCAGAGCCTGCAGGCCGGCAAGCGTTCCCTGTCTAGTGGAACAAAAAAGCTGTGGATGAAGACTTCGCGCAGTATTTCCTCTCTCACGGGAGCTGGCCTCGGAGGCGGCAGTGGTGCAAATGCCACCGCGGCATCGGCAAGAAGTAGAGGTACTACAAAAAATAAAAGCGATAGAGCGAGCCAGACGCTGAAATCGAAAGGAAGCAGCAGCGATGGAAAAAAGAACAAAAAGAAAGTACAGCACGGGTCGGCAGATGCGGGGGAGCTGACGGCGGTAGTGGTCGTGCAACCAGATAAGCACGAAGATAGCAGTCGTGCAAATAGCAGGACCATGAAGATGCGCGTTCTTGATGAGAAGAGAGCGGGTCATCTTCCTGCAGCGACGTCGGACCACCTGTCTAATTCTAGTACTGCACGCACCAGTTCTTGCAAGAAGTGTTGTACAACTTCTCAACAGCTGGTCGCTGCACTCGCTCGTTTATGCTGCACAGCTTGGCTCTTGTTTTCTCGGCTCTTGACCTCCAGAAACAAAGATTGTGGACGGAGCAAAAATTGTGCTGCTCGTGCTGTCGAATGTAAAAAAACGAAAAAGCGTGCTGAACGTAGCACAAGTTGTGGCAGAAGTAGAGCTACACATGATCCTCAAAAAATCGACGGCAAAAACGATCTCCAAGGCTCTGACGACGAAGCCTCCGCAGCACAACTGTTGAACTCCAGCAACACGAAGCCGAGCTTTCTGATGCTTTTTCAGAAAATGAAGTACGTTAGGGCGGCGCAACATCAAACGTCTAATACCACGGAGAACATGTTTCATCGCAAGGGCCTCTCGGCGAACGACCGGCGCCAAAATGTTCTCATATCATGAGAAAAAAGTGTTACAGTTACACATTTGTTGGAGTTTCTGCATCACTGTGGCAGAGAAAACCTGTAATGCGAAGATCATAAGGGCAAACAGGAAGGAAATGAGGCTCCCAAGCGTTTCCTGCATGAGAAAGGTTGTCTGTGTTGCCGTTGTTGCAACGCAATGTGTAACTGTAACACTTTTTTCTTCCCATATCTCACGAAAATTCGCCAGTACGTGAGCGATAAGAACCGGCAGGTCGTCGATTTCTTCCGATCAAAAAACACGGAGAGCCAGGTATCGTATTTCAAAACGTCCCCACCCCAGAGTTGTAATGCAAATCTGCATGTTCAGAATGAATGTTTCTCATGCGGAGCCCCATGAGAAGCATTTTCTAGTCGTGTTTTGCAATTTCTTGTCATGCTCCAATCTGCATGATATACTAGATCTGTGATGCTGCTGAGCTAGCTCAAACAGCACTACGCTACGAGTCCAAATTTGTCATGCAAAACAGCCAAAGCTTGTGGATTTGTCTAGCCGATTCGCCATCTTGACTATGGGGCGGGGACGTTTTTACATAGGATACCAGGAGGTGGAGGACGGGACTTCCTACTCGTTCAAGATCCTCATCATCAAGCCGATCAACCACACGGCCATGGTTTTCCTGTTGTGGCAGGCCCTGATGATCGCCGGTTACGGTTCCGGAGCCGCCCTCTGGGTGTTCGACCGAGCGGACTGTAGTCGTGGCCGGCTGGATGAGGCGGGGGTGGAACAACCAAGTGGTACAAGTGGAGCTACCACTTCCACCGAGGAACAGCACCCGGAATACGAGGTGCCGCTCTGGTTCGGTGTGCTGTACAGCGTGTTTGTGATTCTGCCGGTGTCTACCAAATACAAATATCAATATGTCTGGGTCTGGAGGAGTGCAAGACTTGTTCCTATGGGCGACGTTTTGCATGATCCATAATTATGTCAGCGATGTATGCCTTAGCATCGCAGATTTTTAGAGGGCTGCTTGGAGTCTATATTCCGCATCGATGAGAATAAACTCCCCCTCCGCGTAGCACAAACAAACTGGCCTCTTCTCGTGATGCTGGCCATGCAACACAAATTCTTTTGGATTCCGAAGGCAGCATCGCAAGTTGCAACCATGTTCCAGACCCAGACATACTTGCAATGCATAGTTTCGCTCTACGTCAGTCTCGTGGTCAACGCTGTGTTCCTCGCTCTGATCTTCAGCTGGCTGCTCAGGGAGCGGATTATCACCTGAAAATCAAAATTAATCTCCATTGTTCCTATCTTCCAAAAATTTATCACACAATACATGGAGTAGGGCTTTTGTCATGCAAAAAAAAGTAGATGGGGTTGGGGACGACGATGGTCGGTTTTCAGGGAATGCGGATCTTTGAGCAGTTGGGGCAGCTCCGACTGCTGGGACAGATAGTGGGCAGCACAGATTTCGGGCGTGTTTCCTCGTCTTTCGGAACTTCTTGTTCTTCCGTATCAAATGTAAAAATGTCTGGGTCTGGAAGAATCCGAACTTGTGATGCTGCATTTGGATAGTAAAAAAATCTGTATTGCATGACCAGCAAAGGGAATGCATTTTTGGCTACGCGGAGAGGGCATTTGTCATGCGGAATAGGTATCACGAAGCCCTCAAGAAGTCTGTGATGCTAGGGCATGCATCACAGACATCATGGCCCATGCAAAACGTGCATGACAAGTTTCAGAATCTTCCATACCCAGACATTTTTGCATTTGATATTCCGGGGTTGGGAACATCAACATGGCGATACAGCAACCGAGCACAGCGAGGCCGCCCGCCCTCGTTCCACAACATCCAGGCTGTTCTTCAACGGATTTTATCCTATGTAAAAACGTCCCCACCCCATGCCCACATAGATTATGCTTCTCTTCTCGTCGTAGTTCGTTCTCCCCTCTTTTTCATCTGAAAATTTGAAGTTTCTCTGTGCTTTAATTTGGTCTTTCCAGTACATAAACACCCCATGCCCACAGTCAACATGGGGAATCGGCTAGACAAATCCACAAGGTTTGGCTCTTTCGCATGACAAAATTGGAATCGTAGTGTAGTACTGTTTTAGGTAGTTCAGCAGCATCACGCATCCAGATACCATGCTGATTGGAGCATGACAAATTTCAAAACGTGAATAGAAAATGCTTCTCATGGGGCTCCGCATGAGAAACATTCTCAGCATGCAGATTTGCATATGCAACTATGAGGTGGGGATGTTTTTAAATGCGATAGATTTCGGGCGTGTTTCCTCGTCTTTCGGAACTACTTGTTCTTCCGTATCAAATGTAAAAATGTCTGGGTCTGGAAGAATCCGAACTTGTGATGCTGCATTTGGATAGTAAAAAAATCTGTATTGCATGACCAGCAAAGGGAATGCATTTTTGGCTACGCGGAGAGGGCATTTGTCATGCGGAATAGGTATCGCGAAGCCCTCAAGAAGTCTGTGATGCTAGGGCATGCATCACAGACATCATGGCCCATGCAAAACGTGCATGACAAGTTTCAGAATCTTCCATACCCAGACATTTTTGCATTTGATATTCCGGGGTTGGGAACATCAACATGGCGATACAGCAGCCGATCACAGCGAGGCCGCCCGCCCTCGTTCCACAACATCCAGGCTGTTCTTCGACTCCTAGGGACTGTTCTTCTCCGTGGGAAGTTTGTGTGCCGTTGCAGACTTTCCCTTTACAGAGTTATGAGCCCAAAACATAAGTAGAACTAGAAGTAGCGCCGTCATACATAAGTAGAGTAGCATCAGTAGGCTAGAACTATGAAGGGCACTCGCAACCAAGGCGACGAAGCAGTAACAGTCACAGCCAGTAGTAGGCTGACAGGCAAGCAGCAACAGGAAAGCGGGCGACGTAGGCAGCCCGAAGCGAGAAGAATAGCGAGCGGTCGGAACGGCTAGGAAACGAAGGAAGAGCTGCTGCGATCGTTCGCACAGCTAGGCAAGCAGCAGGCCCAGTAGAGTATGAATGATTTGGATTTTGAAACTAGAACTAGCAGGAAGAACCTACCCAACACCGGTAGCAAGATGCAAAGCACTCGAACCCGTAGACCTGCGCATCTGGAATCCTTAGGGGAATCAGATCGCGACCTGGCTACTTCAGTGCAAAGCTTTAGCGCTTCAGCATCTACAGAGCAAGAAAAGCACTCACCTGACAAACTTCGAAGATTCCAGCCTTTTCATTCGATCGCAAGATCGGGCAATAACAAAAGGGACAGGTGGAGGATTTGAATTTGTTCGAGTTGCTAACGACCCAGGCGCGACCTGCGGCAAGGAAGGAAGCTAGTCGGCCAGACAGCACAGCACAGAGGACCACTAGGGTCGTGGATTCGTTCCACCAGCGCGATAGAGAACTTCGACACCAGGCACAGGGCAAAAATCGCACCCGTGCACAGATTCGAATACGTGGCAGAACAGAGGACGGGCCCACGAGCCGTCGGCGCCAGCTTGCGAGCGGTCGGCATGTCGCCACAGGAACGGACAGGCTACGAGCCGTCGGCGCCAGCCTGCGGGCGGTCGACAAGTCAACACAGAGAGGAAGAGGCTACCTTCGAGGTTTGGCCAGGCTGCTCAAAGGCCCGAGCATGCCACACAGCACACAGATAGATAGATACGAGGTCGAAGGATGTAAGACGTCCCAGGACGGTGCGTGGACGCATTCAAATAGAAAAAGCGCAGCTGTGACCGACTTAGCAAGTTGCTCTATGAATGGTTTTCGATGCCTCGAATTCCGCAAGAAGATCCCGCCCGAGCGCGTGGCCAGATCTGTTGCTTCGTGCACTGACAAGATTCCTGCTTTGGCAGCGAATTCATTTTGACGATTTAGGTTCTGACTCGATTCCCAATCGCGTCCCCATTCCAAAAAGTATATCTGTTTTGAAAAAGAAAAACCCACTAGGCACAGACACAGGAAACTCAGTCACCGTTTCAGGGGGTGAAGTGCAGACCAAACCTGCAGTAGGTGAAACGGCGCCAGAGTTTCGGCGTCCGGAACGGGTAGAACCCAAAGCCCCACGAGAAAAGCAAGAACAGGCGGCCAGTAGCGGCTGCAGAGGATTCCCCGACCGGGGGGAGAAGAAAGACGACGATGAAGAAAGACGGATGTTTGTAGATTTAGTTGTAGAGACGAGAACGCACTATGGCTACGCAGCAAGACAGATTTACAGTTTTGAAACTTTGGACTTTGGAGTGAGGGGGTGTATGACGGATAAGTTTGTAATGCACCCACAGCCTCACAGAGTACAAACTTGATCCACTCCAATAGTCCAAAGATCTAGATAGCCTAAGGACATGAAGACAGATAGAGATCCTTAGTGTTGTAGTACCATGAAGACAGTCCACAGGGCTAGGAAGACACTGAGCCAACATGATGAACACATATACACCCAGGGCCCTTGAGCTAGGACAGACTTACAGCATAGCAGTACTAGACTTAGTCATGGCACTGTAGATGTGCATAGTTGTTCTACCATCGTAGTGTAGTTTGTATTGCGTACTCCGTGGGAAGTTTGTGTGCCGTTGCAGACTTTCCCTTTACACAGCGAGGCCGCCCGCCCTCGTTCCACAACATCCAGGCTGTTCTTCGACTCCTACTGGTGTTGTCGCAAAGAACCACCATCCGATCTCGTCCACGCCACTAGCTTACAATTCTTTTCCTCCAGGAACCGGCGCAACGTCTTGTGCCGCCGAAACGGCGCAGCTGGTCGCGCAACACGTCGAGTACCGCCCCCCGTCTAGCAGTAGTACAACAAGCATGATGGCAGCGACCCCTCCATTTTTACCGGCTGTCCCAGCGGCGGCCTGCTCTTCATTGCTCGCCCCACCGAGACCGCGCAGGCAAAGCATTATGGAGAAGGTCGGGGGGGGCCATCAAGTTTATTCGCAAAGTAATCTTCCCGTGCAAGTGCAACAGCATCAGTTACCGGGGTATCCAATTATAACGTCCACTGGAAACTTCGTAGCCACTTCTTGTTCCTCGCGGCCAACCAGTCAACGGTCTATCTTGCAACGTAGCCAACTTTCCAGTCACAGCAACCTGGAGGCGGTCCTCGAGGGTGGAGCAGATGATCCTTTTGCGGCTCCGAGAATAGATTCTGCTGCATCTTCTGTTCCCATTAATATTTCTGCGGAAAATAAAACGAGTGTCGGCCTAGTACATGAAGACCGACCAAGCTCCACGGTGACCAACGCGGCGGCTGGTGCAACCACTCGCCAGAGTGCTGTTCATATTAAACCTCCAGCTGTTTCAACACAGCTCCGCGGGACGACAACGACCTCCTCGACTGCATCTACAACTCTTGCTGGAGGATCAACACAGCATGAAATCAATAGGGACGCCGAGACGTCCCGCAGCGAGGCCCTGCAACAGCGCACCCTGTTGCTCCTGCAGCGCCGGCAGAGCAGCATGGGCATGCAGATCCTGCAGAACGCCTCCTCCAATCAAGGTGCTGCATCAGCTGCGGCCAGTAATCTCGCGCCATCAGGCTCAGGCGTGATCAACCACGTAGCAGGCCAGACTGCCCCGAAGATGAACAACACGCTATTCCATCAGCGGCGGGCGAGCACGGCAGCTGCACTCGTTGTCCCGAGAGCCGCGATCTTAAACGCTGCGAACGCCGGCTGTATGGGCACGACACCAAACGTTAATCGTCGCGCGAGTTCCACTGGGCTAATACAACAACACATGATCATGGCACCTAGTACAACAACTTCTCGCGGAGCACCAGGCGCCCCCACCAGCATAGTTAAACCAGTACTATCCCAATCACGACCAGATGTTGTGGGTGAAGGGGCGATTCTTTTTCAAGGCCGACGTGCCAGCAGTACTTCTGGGTACATCTTCAGCGGTGGTCGACGTCCTGCAGCCGGGCCAGGTTGTTCTGGTGCGACTTCAAGTTCTTGCGGCGAGGCCCGCGAGGAACTACGTGATGTTGATAACAAGAACTACGCTCTTGCCCCAAAAAGCGGCACAACAATCGCCGCCGAAGATGAAGATGAAGACAAAATGACATCACGCAGCAAAAATCATGTTAGCGAGCGAGGACGGAAACCTACCTCGACATTAGTTTCGAGTCAGCGGCATTCTCTAGCCGCGACCGGCAGGAGCTCCTGTCGGGGCACGAGCAGGCGAGGCTCCCTTACGCCGGTGATTGTAAACGGCGACGCAAGTAGTTCTTGTAATTCCCCCGTGCTCGTCGGGGGGACGGGCACGGCAGCAGGCGGTCCGGTTTTATTAACGGAAGCTGCTGCACTTGAGCAAGAAGATGCTCCAAAGCTGTATGATAATTACCCCGCTCATGTTATCCTGAGTAAAAACGTACCCACACCAGAGTCAAAATGAGGATTTTGCAACACAAACCTAGGAGTTTTAGGAGTCACGCATGACAGGTTGCGCTATGCAGTGTAGTGCAGGTTAGCAAGTGCAGCCGCGTCACAGATTCATCTGCTCATCCTGTGTACAGCATCACAAATGTCAAAACACGACTGGAAATGCCTCTCATGCAGATGCGCATTACAAATGTTCCTGTCATTGCAAATCTGCATGACAACTCTGGTGTGGGTACGTTTTTACTTAGGATACATGTTGATACTCACGCGTCTGCAACAGCGTCGCCGGTGGGTTTGCACCCGGAGCTGCTTGCGCAGATGCAAAATCAGCCGAAGTATCAAATGTAAAACAAAGTGTCTGGGTCTGGAAGAGCGCACGTTTGTCATGCTTGTCTGGCATGACTCTGAAATCTGTCATGCACGTTAAGTACCCAAGAGCGCTATTTTTCTGTCATGCAGAAACGCAGTTTGTCGTGCAGAATAGGCAACACCTAGAAGCTCAGAAACCTGTCATGCTGAGCCAGCACTTGTGGCCTCCTCATGATACGCCACCCAGCATCACAAGTTTCCAGAGCCAGACACTTTTACACTTTATACGAAGGACCGGGTGTCGAAACTCTCGGAACTGGTGGGAGCTGCGGCCGCAAAAAACTCGGCCGTCAAGGACCCGAGGACCAGCACGAAGGAAGGAGGTACAACTGTGCGGCGTGCTGTCGAGGAGGAGGACCTGACGAGTCGCGGCGACGAGACTGGCAATGACACCACGTCGGACGAAGAGCTCCTGCATCATGGGTGTGAAGCAGTGGTGGAGCAGGAACAAATGGTGGCGCAGGTGGGCGGGAGAAATTATCAAAGCCAAATAATTGATCTGGACCAGAAAATGAAGAGTTATGGAAAGAACCAATCGGAGCTGCTCTCCTGCGAAGTTGTAGACAATGCACTGCAGCAGCAGCGGCAGGAGCAGTCACGGTTGCAACTAGAAGTAGAGCAGCACAATTTTCATCGCGTTGATCGGTCACATCAAGAATTTGATTTCTCGTCGCAAAACGAATTTGACGTGGTGGAAAGCGCGGCCCTCGAGGGGGCAGATGACAACTCATATGCATTGCAGGAGCATCTTCGTACTTACCGATAAAGATAATTTCCCGAGAAACTACAGTAAATTTGAATTTACGGTCTCGTATTTTTAAGATTTAAAAGAAAGCTTGTAGTGCTGGCGGAGCTAAAACAGACTGAAAAAAGTAAAGGAGATTCTTGCAATCGGTACGAGTGCGATGCTTGTTTTGAAGATGACACCCGAACGGAGGAGGCAATAGCGGTGACGTATGAGGTATATGTGGAAATCCAGGAAAAAATCATCTTGGTGGTGTCCAAATTTCGCACGTTCGAAACCGATTACAACATCTTCCAGTGTGGACTGATGACCTTCGTGGTTGGGTTTCTGGTCAACTTCGTTTTTTTCGAGATGAGCATCTTATTCTACACAAAAATACAACTACTACACCCATTCATTACAATAGTACGAGGGAAAAAATGAAATTTACTGTGTTGCGGGTAGTTCTTTATGGTGTCGTAAGTTTTCGCAGCTCAGCATTGCAAACATTTTCGGCACCCGCACCTCTCTATACTGTAATCTCTCTGGAACGCATTATAAGCTGTGCATGTCCTCTGGTGGAAGATGAAACTGAAGGAAAATTTGCCCTGCTCTTCTCGTGGTCTTTCATCTTGCATTTTTACAAGGTTATAATTTCCAGTAGGGCCAATTAATTTAGCAAGATAATTTTCTCTCTGCTATGGCTATGGGCGTAGTTGTAGTTCTTCTCTGTGGGATACATGTTGGGTCCAGCAGAGGACGAGGACGCGGAGGGTAGTCGTGACAGCGCTGCGTGTGAGCAGGTTGTGCCGTTGTACGGGATTCTATCCATCGCAAAAGTACGATAATCGCAGTAGTACAACGTAGCAATTTTTACGCAGCATTTTTATAGAACATCAAACCAGAAGTGCAAGAACAATAAATTCTTTTGATTGCAGAAGGAAAAGTGCGATAGTACTTTTGCTGCATCGGGGATAAATTCTTTTGCTGTTCAACTTGGTCCTGTTTCTCGACATTTTGTGGCTGAAGGAGATGGCCGGCATCTACTATCACAGGGAAAAGTGTTAACGTCGACGGAATTTGTGCTGCAGAAATGCATCACAAAAGGTGCCCAGATTTGTCATGCTTGGCATGGGTATTAGGCAAAAATTGTGATGCGTATCTGCATTCGGTGAAAACGTTAACACTTTTTTGTTTGATATCTACGAGTCGTTTCTCATAGAGCGGGTGCAGACCACCTGCCTGGACTCCATTGCCATATGGAAGCGTCAGGATTGAAATCGTCACAGTTGAAATAATTTCTCATGCATGGACTGCAAGACATGAAGCGCCTCTCTTGCAGGGATGGCAAGTGAGGCAGATTGTGAGCCTATTTAGGTTTTGGAATAGAGCTGCTAAAAGAGCATGACAAAAGCAGCCTTCTGTGCCAAGACAGCATGACAAATTGGATTCCGCTGCTCCGAAAATTTGTCATGCGCCGCTTGGAAATTGGGCTTCCAACTGGTATCCATTTTATGCATGACAAATCATTTCAACTTTGTCGATTTCAAACCTGACGCTTCCATATGCCAAGCTGTCCGTGTACCTGTTCAACGACGCGCAGGCCCTGAACCTGAACCTCGCGACCCAGCAGCACTCGATGTGCATCCGGCTTTTTGGGCAGCCGATCACCTACGCACTGCTGTGGAAGGCGGTGTCCCTGGTGGTGCTCAACCTGATGATGACCCTCATGGTGCCGCTGCTGCTCAGCAACAGGTCGTAGCAGGGACTACAACTTCTCAACAGGCATACTGAATGATCTTCATTGTTTTTACATCGCACTTCTGGAAATCATAATCAATCTAGTATTTCTATTTCATTTTCTATCTAGATACTTTTATCTATTGTGCATAGTGACTGATGGCGTGCACCTTTTATCTTGCTTTGAGTTTGCACCAACATCGTGGTCCTCCGTTTTGGTTGATCATCGGCATAGGAAGCAAATTGCTTTGCGTACGAAAAAAGCTTCCTAGAAGTGAGTAGTTGTCTATGATTGAACAAGCGAAAGTGAAATGCAAGCGTACGGATTGTGATTGTCCTCTACCGCTACGTTTTTTTTTCTTAAAAATAAAATGCAACTCTGGTGTTACTAGTTTTTCAAGGATAATGGTATTCTCCTATTCGTACTACCATTCCAGGTACGAATGTAGCACGTCGCTCTCCCCGCGTTGATATCAGTCTCGAAGCAACTTCTTTTTAGGTCATGATTACGACTAGAAATAAATAAAAAACCGGTCATGATGAAAATGTCACCATTTTTGAAGGCGATGCTAAAAACCATATTTCCAATTTCTCCGGTTGCAAGCTGCGTACCGAGTTTATTTTTGTCTTACTTATTGCCTGCAGAAATAGAAACTTCATCATCCGTCATCATGAAATTGGAGCTCCGCCATAGCATAGTTTCTTCCCGTGCATCTTCCGTAAAATGTCAGTGCAAAGAAGGAGAAAAGATTATACGTACTCTCTGTTTTTATCATGATCCGGGCGGAAAGGCAGTTTGCTCCGTTGTGCAGCAGTGAATTTAAGAAGATGGAGTCGCCTGAAGCTACATTTCCATTTACATAGTTCATCTGTAAATAACACATAATACGATGGGTATGATGTGCTACGTATTTTACTAAAACTAGCAAAGAAACTCTTTCAAAGAGACAGTCATATCACATATTCGAAAAGGTAAAGCGAGGCAAATATCATACCAAGCAATTGTTGAACAAACAACTTGTTGATAAGGCGGTGTGAATCACCCATGATCATGAAATAGAATGAACATGGCCTGTCGACGTTTCTGGAATTTCAGTTCACATCAATTCTGAAAAAATGATGGATCAGAATTACTATCTATTATATTCATGCGAAAAAAGAGGTCTACAGAGGGTCGAAGGGAGGTGGCCGAGAGGTCAAAAGGAGGGCAACAGAGGTCAAAAAGAGGTCGACAGAGGTGGAGAGGTGGCGCGGGAGGTCGTTCGGGAGGGTGGCCGAGAGGTGGCGCGGGTATAGCCAGCCGAACCGTTCACCCTAAAGCCGCGCCTATGGGGCCCGGAGGTGGCCGAGAGGGTCCCGAGAGGGTAGGCGAGAGGGGGACAGAGGTGCCGAGAGGTTGCGCGAATAAGGGCGAACCTCTCGCGCACCCTCCTGGCCACCTCTCGGCCACCTCTGTAGACCTCTACTGGCGAGTATAGCTGGACTATTAGCAGCACCTCTCGGGAGAGGTGAAAAAGAGGGTCTGCGAGAGGGTCAAAAAAACCCGAATCCCTCCGGCACGCGGCCGATTTTGTTTGGGCCTTTTCATCGCGCAGGCCCACACCCTTTCGCGCTACCCTCTCGCGCTACCCTCTCGCGCCACCCTCTCGCGCGACCCTCTCGCGCGACCCTCTCGCGCCAACGATTTCCGCCGGGAAGCAAATAGGGCGGGGGCGTGTGGGTGATCAAAAAAGGGCAGCGCGGCCCCCGTATTGCTTCCTTCGGCGCCTATAAATGTCGAGTCAGCTTCTCTTCGCCCCCAAGCTTCGCTGCAGCTGCTCTCTGCGCATAGCGCCTGCAGGCGTGGGAAGCGCGCAGGAGGCCCTGCGGGTTGACATGGCGAAAACCGGGCCAGTAGCCCCCTCGGTCTGTTGCGCTGTGCCCAAAGCTCCGGCGCTGCGGTCCAGCCCGCGCATTGTCCTGCCCCGCCACAACAGCCTTGCGCTCCGGCGTTAGCCGGAGCATGGCTGGTCCATGTTCATGTAAAAAAATCAATCGCGGCTGTTCTAACTACTACCTCAAGATCTTCACAGTTGTGCATTCCAGCAGTAGAGATCCACATATTTTTCATTCCCGCGCCGCAGTGAAAAGAAAAGACAGTGACAGTAAAGATGAAAAAATAAAAGCAAAATCTCTCATGCAAAAGAGGACCCTGATTCAAGAACATCTATATTATGGGCCGACGTTAAGGCCACAGTGAACAAGATCTGACATATTTATGAACCTCACGCTCTGCTCGTGCTCGTACGACGACTGATGCACTACAAGAAGTTCCATGTTGATGCATTGAGTACCCGAGACATTGAGTTGTCGCATACCTCCGAAAATTAATAATATTAATTTCCTGAATTCGAATTATTATATTTTTTTGCAGCCACGCCACTTCTTCCGCTGCGTCGCAAAGGCAAACTACTCCTATTCAGCAAATAAGAAGATTACAGGGACGAAAAAGAACAGGAGTAGGTCGTGCTGGGGCGATCTAAGACTTAGAGACGAACTGACTACAACAAAAATCATCACTGTTTTTGCACAGTTTCCAGGAACAAGATTTGTACTAGACTACTAGACAGCACGTTATCAACATCGCTTTAGAATATTTACAGACTACAGCACGACAGAGAACTAGAAGACGACGAAAAAACACGGAAGATGTTGCGTTCACTCCTCTCCTCGTGTAGTGTTTTTCTCTGGTCACACCCGGGGCACCAATCCGTCCTCGCCAGCGTGTCGCCCCGCCTTCGCCGCGGCTTGAGCCGCGAAGTCGGGAGAGAACGGAGTCGGAGTCCTGCCGACGTCCTCGAGACCTCCCGCACTTCTTCCTCGACTGCTGACGCTGCTGGGTCCGCCGGTCCCGCGCTCGTCATTTGGACCATCGGAGGCGCTGCGTTCGGGGACCGGATTCCCTATGCACACTGGAAAGACAGGACTGTTGCGGACCTCATCAACAAAGTAGAAAGGGGAGAGTGGGAGCCTTCCTCTGGTGCGGCTTACCAGCAGGACGAGTTTTTTGGTAGCAGTTTTGGAAGCAGTAGGACGCAGCTCGTCACGGCTGGTTTGCCCGCGGTGCAACTTGATGCCGGCACCAACGGCCAGCAGAAATTGGCAGACCAACTGCGCGCGCATCTAATGCCAGCACCGCTCGTTTCCGTTTATTCGTCTCCTACTTCAACTTCGCCTGCGGCCCAACAAGACACCAGGGACATACACCTGACGCTTATCACTGCGACTCGGCAGAAGCCGTATTTTGCCATGCTTCTCAGAAAAGCCTTCAGCATCGCCGAGGAGGTGCAGATGCAGCCGAATCGGCAGTCGCTTATTGACACGCTGGAGACTGATATGAAAGGGCATATGATGAACTTTTGGCGCCCGCCACACGTAGAAGAACTGCAAGGAGGTCGAGGCCAACAAGTGCCCGACGAGAAGAGGGCGCCCAGTGTGAAGGAGCAATTCTTGGCCTTCATCACGAGCGTCACAGGCGGATCGAGGTCGCCCGAATTGACCGCCTTCCTTGACCGGCATGGAAACGAACTCGCGTGGCTTCTGGCTCAGATGGACACAGCGCTGCGGACGATGCGTATGCCGGCACGGCCTGGCGATGTCCTAGTGGAAGATGAGTATGCTTTCAAGAGGAGTATGGCTCAAGCGAGCGTAATGACCCCGGTGAGCCTCGCCCCTTTAGGAACATACGAAGTCGGTCAAAAGTAGAACAAAAGCAATGACGTCGTCCCCCTCACTGACAGCGCCGCCGCAGCACGGGCCAACGCATAGCCCCGACGTGGAGTTAGATAGAAGGCTCCGGATAGAGTAGTAAATAGAAAGCAACAGTAAGACTAGCGGCTGGAGACACAAGCTCGGTGATACGCGAGGCGTGCCCGCCAACTCCGGACCCGCAGGGATACGCCCCTCCCCGCGGGATATCGTGGAAAAGAGGCATAGATCCCAAACAGCAGACTAGCCGCGGTGTGCCATGAGGGCCGGCGCGGATGGGGACCGGAAGGGGGGAGTCGTGCACCAGGCACCGAAAAGGCATGCTTGCCCGCCGCAACAGGAGTCGGCATGATGTCATGCGTGAGCGGAGGCGCCAACTGCGCTAGGCAGTGGAAGGGCGGATAGATACAAATACTCACTTAGATTGCACAGGTAGAACTTTGAAAAAGAGACTTCTCAGGCTTGAGAAATTGCATAGTGCATTGATCCCCTCCGATGGCCACGGCCTGGCGATGTCCTAGTGGAAGATGAGTATGCTTTCAAGAGGAGTATGGAAGACGCGCGCCTGACGTATGCGTATCGCGACAAACGTCCTTGTCGGCCTGGTGCTCGTCATCTTCAATATGTATCCTTGTACCACACCACAATGTTGGATGGTGAACCAATCAGAATCTGGATCCACCTGGTTCGGAAAGGAGCCTCCGAAGCTGTACAGGTAGACGCCGAGACCGAGGACAGCCTACCGGTAGCTGTACCGGAGAGTATTGCCGCAATTCAGCCTGGTACCGGAGCGCATCTCTTTACTCAGCTTTTCGAATCGGAGGTGAATTTGGGCGAAGATGCTCTAGGAGTGCCACTGATTATGAGGATTGTCGGCCAAATCCACGGCGCAACTTTCGCAAATCTCCCTTCTCTGAGCTTCGCTATTGATTTTTTCACCCGTCCACCTCCTGCTCCGAGGGCGGAATGAGGAGCAAGAGTTCCTCGGCCCTCGCTGGAGTCTATCCAGCTTGACATAGGGAAATCGAGCCGAGGATGCAGATAATTAGCCGACGAGTAAGGGATGAGTAAACCCCTTAAAAAAGGCTCTTTTACAGAGCGAGTCCCCGACGGACAAGCGGTTACTCTGTTGCGAAGGATTCGAAAGCGACTCACAGATAGAGACAAGTACTCAAGAGAACCATGAGCCATGCGGTGTGAATCGCCCATGAAATGAAATGCACATAAATTTTGTCGACGTTTTATATCAAATCTAAAAAATGTATGATGATCAGAGGAACAGTATTAATCCGAAAAAAAAAACGCAATATTAATAAAGTACTTGAACTCAGAAAACTACTAGAAGGCACTAGGTAGCACGTCGTGTATGATTTAACTCGAACCGCATATCGGGGGGATAAGCTAGAAGCAAGCGCTCTACTTCACGCAAGCACTTTATGTTTATTTCTTATCGAAATATACAGTTGTGACCTACTCAAACCTCAATTCTGATTTTACTATAAATATACGGCGACGGACTGGAGTATGGAAGCATGGTACCAAGGGCGACTATGGTTCTCTGAAGACGGTGGCTTCAGTATGTACAGAAGAAGTCCAATGATGAAAGGAACTGAGCTCGGTTATTTGTATTTCGAAAATTTTGCTCCACTACGACTACTATTGAAAATCGTTTACACAAAGTTTGTGTTACAAACCACTATCAGAATAATATTGTACTGATGTAGTCGTGCAAAATTTGAAATATTAGATCGTGCTGGAGATAGTGGCGCAAAGCGAGATGCTTTTGTTTTGGGATTACTTCCTATGGGAAAAGACATGATAAAGAAATCAACTTGCGGCACTTTGTTGCAGTAAGGCGCTCAACGCATACAGATTTTGCGCGTTTTGGATTTGTAGTAATGCAACAGGACCCATGATCTTGTAGCATCGATGTGGTAAGACCTTGCGCTTACAGATACTTTTCACGGTAAGCAAGAAGAGTATAATTTTGTTATATTTTTCGACCCGTAAGTTTACTTACTAAGTAAACAGCTCTCGAAAGTATAATTGCAAGAATCTGGACCAAAAATCGCACGGCAAACTGGAAACTGTTAGACAGATTTGAAGAAGAAGGAAAAAACGTGATTTGGAAAAAGACGAAGATAGCCGGACTCTTCGTGATCGTGTTCTGTTCGAAGACTCTTGCACGGGCGCCAACTTTCGTAGTGGTGAGCGAGTCAAAGACTAGGAAAATAAGAACCCTCAAGCAAGTATAGCACGACCAGCACCAGCAGGCTCAGAGAATCGGCATCAAGTCAGCATCAGTGCTGTCTAAGTAAAAATCTTCCAGATTTCAATCACGCAACCTTTGGCGGGAGAAGTACAGAGTCCCTCGGAGTCCTGCATCCTCATGATGCAGTGAAAAGGAACAAGCAGCGAAAAACGTAGAGATTGTTGTTTGTGAGGGTGGCGATAAAGTAGCTGCTGGAACTGTTATGTCGATCACCTCGATGATCCATTTCTTTCCCAGTGTCTTTCTACGGAGATCTCGTTCTTTTTTGGCGCACAACCTGGGAGCCGCCTTATGGATCTGTGCAGTTGCGCCACAATTTCCCGGCAGCCTCGTCCTTTTGGATTCTTGACTTTTGTTTGTCCTGCAGATTTCTTGTGAACTGCACGACAAAAAAAGGGTGCGAACCGGACAAAGGAGCAAAAGCGTGCGGAAAGTTGCTGCCCCTGTTCCAAAGATGCCACTGGAGTCTCGAGGCCCGAGAGGTGCCCTCTGGAGCAAGGGCAGCTGCTTTCCATGCGCTTTCCGGTGTATTTTTTGTCGTTCTTGGCTTCGATTCAGCGCAATAGTCACGCACTTCGCCTGCACTGCCAACATCCGGCTCAGACATGTTCGTATTGCGAAATCGGGCGAAAACTTGCCCAAAGATCGCATCTCCGCAAGCGTCCGGGGACTGGCCTGAGTCCCTGGCCGAAATGGTGCCACATTTATGACACTTTGTCCGATGCTATGCTGTTCAAAAATTGCTCTAGGTTTGCGAAAATCACAGCGCATCCACCAAGCGGTCACATTTTGGTGACCTCTTTATGAGGCTAACCACGGCGGCACGCTTTCAATTTTCCGGTCTAGCTTTGCGAAAATCATGGGTCGGGGAGGGGGGTGCCGAAAATGGAACAAAGCGAAGCCATTTCGTGCTCAAAACGGGTGGCCCCTTTATGAGCCTAATCAGCACGGCACGGAGCCACTTTTCCGGTCTAGCTTTGCAAGAAAAGGACAAAGATCGCGACAGCAGGCGCTATGTCATCTCCAAAGGGATGTTTGGAACCATTCAAACTAATGGGATTAGCTAGATCGCAGCTGGGTGGTTGCCTTGCAGGTGGCAAGACAATTATCCAGCTATGAGGTAGCCAGTTTGTATCAGCTTACGGGGGGAATCAGCATTGAAAACGAAACGCGTTTCCACGATCTAAAAAATTTTTTTTGGAATTCGCTGAATTAGACATCTGAGCCTGTTATAACTGTTATGTCGATCACCTCGATGATCCATCTTTTTCCCAGTGTCTTTGTACGAAGATCTCGCTTTTTTTTTTTTTGCAGGTGACAAGTGAAATGCCCAGTTTCAGTTTCAGATGCGCTTTCCGCTCGTGTTTCGCGGGGGTTACGCCGTGTACAGCAGGTCGACACTGCCAGGAAAATCGATGTGCGCGCCGCATTGGTCCATACAAATTAAAACCCTAAACCCTTCGGAAACATAAATCCGCATGCATACAGGGGGGTCACCCCTGAACCCTTTTTCGAACTCGGACCGGACACACGCATGGAAAATCCCCACGATAACGTCTATAGCCGTAAGCCGCGGCGGACGTTGCTATGCTGTGGGACGAATAGCAAGGGGGTTTGATATGGGTCGAGACTAAGCGCGATGTGCAGTGGAGTTGTGTCCGGGGTGTAGGTTCACTATCTATTCTAGCTCTTCCGTAGCCGTATCTTAGGCGCCCGCCAGGCCGTGGATGCAGATCGCCGCTGCGGAACGAACTGGCCAAGGGAGATACGGCCTGCCGGCGCAGCTTGGGCGGGACAGGGACGGGGGAAAGCGTTGGCGGGCGCAACAAGACACGGAGGTAGTTCTGAGATTGCGGAAGCAAGCTGTGGGCAGCAGTTGGCTCCAAGGCGTGAACAGAAAAAACAGAAACATGATGGCGATGATGATGATGATGATGATGATGATGCAAAGGAATGATGGAAAGGAAAAGAGTCGTCGTGTAATCCCTGCGTGCTCGAAACCCCAAGCGCCTGGCAAGCAAAAGAGTGTCAGTTGTTGTGTCGTTTTCCCCGTATTGCCGCCCTCTTCTCGTCTTTCGCGTCTCTGTGTTGTTCTCTTCTCGTGTGTCTCGTGTTTTGGTTAGCGCTAGCGCCGCTTCGGTTGTCTTCGCCCCTAAGGCTACCAGCTCTGCTCCCACCCGCAACTGGTTTTCGGTGTGACCTGACCCCGACGAAACAAGGCTCCGTTGCGGGGTAATCGGATTGTAGGATGCCCAAAATGAGCCGGGGCCCTATCTTTGACACTGTCGAGCGGTGCACATCATAGCACGACCTCCCTATTGTCTGTACTGCCCGGCTCGGTTGTTCCTGTCTTAGGTCTGCTCGGGGACGCTTGGGCCTCTAATACCCCAGTCCGAGACTTGCAAGGTCCCAAAAACCTGGGCTGAAGTCTGCCAAGTGGGCAAGGATGAAAGCCCCCGCTTGGAGCCTCTTGCGATTCACTTCACTTCGCTTCACTTCACACACTGTTATGTCGATCACCTCGATGATCCATTTCTTTTCCAGTGTCTTTCTACGAAGATCTCGTTCTTTATGGCGATGCTAAGTACGGAAAAGTCAAAAATGTCCAAAAATTTCAGGGGTCGCGCATGTCGCCCCTCCCGTTTGACGGGAATTGCCGGCGCCCCACCTCATGCATGAGCAAAATAGCCGAAAGGCCCCGCTTTGAGGCAGTGAGAAAGGCAGACCGGCTTGAGTAGCAGCTGCTGGTGACCACATGGCTTCCGGTCCGCTCTGTCGCTTCGTCCGACGAGTGTGGCGCGCAGAGATTGGTCGGAGCGCTGTGCCGGCCGCGGCTAGCACAAGAAGGCGCATTGAAATCGGGTTAGCTAACTTCGAGCCCTGCGGCCGCCATCCCGTTGCCCCACACGCCGAGAACACTCGCCGCCCCTCTGAGGTTAAGGAAAAGGCAAAAAAACAGGGGCGCGGTGCGCTCTGGAGAGGGTTTGCCTGCGATGAGGTAAATGCCTTCGCAGTATTGCGTTGGCAAATGCAAAGCACACGCACGGCGCGGGACAGGGCGAAAAAAACACGCTCCGCCCGTTCGCAAACGATGCCGCGGCCTCTTCCGTGAGGTCCTCTAGAGGCTTGCCCTCCCCGTCTTTCATAGACCCCCACTGTGGGCTCCGGTTCCCGACATCCTGGCAAGCCCCACGTCGAACGCACTCGCCTGTTGCTCATTTCAGAAAATAAAAGTCCGGATCCACCCCCGGACAAAAAAGAAGCAAACGGCCCTTCGGCTACCCCTAAAAGGGCTTTTTTGGGTACCCCTAAAGAAGCTTTGCGCGCTATGTAGATGCAGCTGGTTTCGGGGTGGTGTGCCTGAGCACAGAAGCACGGCGCCTGGCCCGTATGCAGAGGGGACTCGCCACACTGCGTCAATGTGACTCCCCCGGGGGGGTCTTGCGAGTTCGACAGCCAGCGCCCCCCGCGGGGACGAAGGGTCGGCACACTGGCCAGCGTCCTTCCCATCATACGGTGTCCATTTTTCCTTTGGCACTGCATCGGCGCAAATATGTCGATCACCTCGATGATCCATCTTTTTCCCAGTGTCTTTCTACGAAGATCTCGTTCTTTTTGCGATGAAGATGAAGAAACCTGCTGATCATGAGCGTAGATTAGATATCACGTCTATATGTCGAGTGTTTTTTTCTGATGATAAACAAAGTCGCCTATATTACACAAAAAAACCGGTGGATCCTCAACATGGAATATGTTCTGCTCGTTCGCGAATTATGTGTTTCAAGTTCTTTCTTTCGCGAATGTGTTTCAAGTTCTTCCGTGGATAGATCTGTCTATAAATGTGTTTAAAAAAGTTCCGCACCTCCTGCAGGGAATGGGAAGCTGCAAAGCTGGCTTCTTATAACTTGCTGCCGTCCACGCGGCCGCGGCCATTCATGCCTCCTTTTCTTGCCGGTATTAATTCATCAGCATTTTAAGAATGAAGAGTTTTTAAGATTTTTGCGGCAGTAGAAGTGTACTCAGAATCATTTCAAATCATTTCAAACAGGAACCGCCTATTATTTTCTGGTCCTCGTAGTGCTTGGCGAGAAAAAAAACTAGAACTCTATGAAGTTTTTTCGACACCGTGGCCGTCCTCGTGATTTCGCTGCAGCTCCAGCTCGTGTACCTGTCTACAAAAGTTGTTTTTTTGCAAGACAAAGAACTTTTTTTCCCACGGCCGTCGTGAGCATCTATTCGCTCTTCCTCTGCGTCACCGAGTTCGTTTCCGAGATACATTCTGGCGCGTTATGCATTGCATACATTCTGACCGCGTCTGGAAGTAGACCAAGAAAAGTGCAGATGTCTACTCGTCCTATCCAGCTCTTTGTGGACGATCTGCAATATTATTCTGTGTCGTGTCTGCAATGTAGGTACCGCATGGCATGATAAGTTTTGCTCGGGAGGTTAAGTACTTGTTCTCCTTCTTCATGCCTAACCTGCACGAGGAATGATCGTGCCCTCTTTGATGGGACGAGAGAAGCACTGCGCCTCTGCTCTTGCTGACTATGCAAAAAATCACTTTTTTGTCATGTTGTACTGCAGAATCAGAATCACAACAAGTTTCCATCCTCCCACATCACTGCTCTACCGAGTTGTCATGTTTGCAATGCATGCGCGTCACCGCAGCGCAAATCTTCGACGACGAACACAATTGGGAAGGTCTCAGGCATGTTCCGGGAACGTTCCGAAATGAGTCCCGGGGCAAGTTTCCGAGCAATGAGCCTCCGGGGGAGGTAGGTTGGTCCGGAACAAGGCCCGGGGCAGGCTCCTGCGCAGGCGTCCCGCGAGCAAGGTGCTCCTCGGGGGATATTTGCGGAAATAGCTAGCCCCGCCGAGGGGGCCACGAGGGTGGTCCGGGCCCTGTCTTTGTCGGCGAGAGTGCTTCGCATCGTCGAACCGAAGTGCCGACCTTCGGCACCGCCAGCCGCCGACGTGCTCTTTGATGGGAGCGTCGCTGTGGTTTGATCCGGTTCGGGGGCCTCGCAACCCTAAAACGGCCAGAGGGCCACCCCGGGGGTTTTTGGGTTTCTGAAGGAGGGCAGGCTGCGAGGTGTCACGGCATCGGAGGTCGTCTGGGTGTTGGCTCGGCGCAGCCTGCCAGGCCTGCCCCCCTCTCGGCGCCCGGCGTGGATGGGCCGGCCCCCGTCGTCGGGCGGGCCCGCCGAGGATTATCTTGTTGTCATCGCGCGCGCCCCCGAAACGCTTTGTTTTATCGCATTCCAGCAAACGAAGCCGCATGCCATCGTGTAACGCGCGTTACACGATGGCGCTCTCCCTTCATCCTGTCTCCTGCTGCGCTGGTGTGGCATGCTCCCGGCCGTAGACGCGCTGTCTCGCCACAGGGCGACACTCGCTCTCGCGCCCCCCCTCCGGTGCAACACCTCAAAGAAAGGCCTCCCTTCTTGTCGTGCCCACAGCCGCGAGCACGGACGGGGGCTCGGCTGTGGGGGAAGTATGCTGCATCGTGCTCATCTTCGGTTGATGTGCAAGCGTGTTGCCGTAGCGTTTGGCCGTCGTTTAGGTGGTTCATCTTGGTGGGCTGCTGTCTCGCACCAACGTGCAGCCGGCATCCACTTGAGCAGTATAGACCGGCGGAAGGTTGGGCCCTCGTTGCCTGGAACCCCGGTGCCCTCTTGTATTGCCCCAACCGGAAACCGGCCCGACAAGTTCTGCGCAAGTTCTGGGCAAGTTCGGCACCCCATACATCTAGACCCATGCTTTCGGAGTAACACATCACTGTTCTACTGATGCATGTTTGCAATGCATGCGCGTCACCGCAGCGCAAATCTTCGACGACGAACACAATTGGGAAGAACCAGCACCCACCGTCCAGAAAGCAGCACGACAGGGAGGCAAGAAATTATGGTCAGAGCAGCGCAGGAGATCATGCACCTCCAGCAGCCGAATCTGAAGGAACAACGCTGTCAGGAAGATCCTCCTCCTCGGCCTCAAAAACTACAGGGGCGCTACAAGACCGGGACAAATCAAATTCAGACTCCCCACGAAGAAGTAGAAATGCTGACTCGGCTTCCGCCACAGCACACGTTGTATCTCCGACCGAACATCAAGATCAAGAAGCGGAAGATGCGACGCGGGTGCAGCTTGAAACTCAAGAACAAGAGCGCGATGTTGATCAAGCGTATCCTGCTGATGTGCAAAAGTTGTATCGTTCATCTTTACTCGGTCTGTCCACTGCGATCTTGCATAACGCACGTGAATTTGATTTTACCTCAAACCGCACGAGGAAGTTCATTTGGCCTTTACAGAAATAAAACTGTCGTGGCTGATACTAGTCCCAGTAGTCGTGCTTCACATAATTACCCATATTTTTCGTTGTTTTGGTTTTCGTTTTCCTTTTGCAATGCATAAAGCGACGTCTTCATCTTCTGTACCAATTGGAGTTGAATCTGCTCCAAGTATCTCAGCAGCAGCAAGCGGTGCGACGCGGTTGCAGGCGGACCGCAAGAAGGACGTCCAGAGACGAGGAACATCAAGATCACACCCTGCTAGTACTTCTTCATCAACATCGAGGGCCGCCAATCAACGGCAGGAGCCACCGCGTAGAAAGCCGCGCGAAGTTGTATTGAAGAACGCCGATCCTCCTGATGGCAGTGGCACCACCAGGACCTCCAGGAGAATTAGAAACGACGGCCGTCATCAACAGCAGAATCAGCATGAACAAGATGCTCCTGCTCCCGCACGAGGACCTCCACCGCCACCAGACAACATTGTCCATCTCACAGAAGGACGAGAACAGAAGAAAGAACCTCCAGTCGACACCGTCGACGTCTTATCAAATGCAAAAATGTCTGGGTCTGGAAACTTGTGATGCTGCGTGGCGTAATATCATGAGGGGATCACAAGTGCTGGCTCAGCATGACAAGTTTCTGAGCTTCTAGGTGTTGCCTATTCTGCGTGACAAACTGCGCTTCTGCATGACAGAAAAGTGGCGCGCTTGGGTAACGTGCATGACAGATTTGGGAGTCATGCCAGACAAGCATGACAAACATGCACTCTTCCAGACCCAGACATTTTTACATTTGATACGTCTTTTCCGATGGTGAAGAAATGGTTCTCACGACAGGAGACAACGCGGAGCTCCTTGCCCAAGCTGGAGATCATGCGCTCTCGTCAAGCGGAGGTCCTCCCGCAGGTAGTGGCGCGACGGCGCGTCTGCAAGAGGATATTAGAAATATTGACAGGCCGAGCAGGACGGGTGGCGGAACAGGAAAAATAAATGCACTTCCCACCCGAAAGCATGGCTACCAGGAGCAACATGGTAGTACTTCGGGTGGGAACAAAAGAACGAAACAGTCAACATCTCCTGGGTGGTCGTCCCCAGAGGCAGAAGAAGATGTTGTACCAAAAAGACACTATCTGAGTCCACCTCGAGAGGATCATGTTGACAGTGATGCCGCGGGGAGGGCCTCTCCGGATGAAAAACATCAACAACGAGGAGCAAACGAGGAAATTATGGACGACCCCTTGTCATCTTCTTTCGTCGAACTGCAGAAACAAAGGACGGCTGGTTATCAAACGGAGCTCCAAAAAGCACAAGCCCGCGAAGCAGCCTGGCAGGCGCAACTCGCTGCTGCTCACGGCATGACTACCTGTAAGCATTTCACGTGTTACGGCACGGGCCAGCCGCAGCATACAACAACCGCGATAAAGTCCCGCTTTTACTCCAGCGTTGTGGCCTCCGGCACGCCCGCACAGGCGGGGTCCGCAGCGCAGCAGGTGCTGAAACCGGCCGCCAGCTATTTACAGTAAATTTCCTGTACACGACGTACAAATGCGGTCTCTGCATGGCAAATCTAGGCTTCGATCCTAGTTTAGCATGACAAGTTTCACAGTCCAAATCGGGGAAATTTGTGATGCATCTTGTACATGTACGGGAAATTTGTATTGCATACCAGCCGGGAGCAATACGCCTGGCGGTTGGACACGGAGGACGAATGCAACGGCAGCGAGACCTATGACCCTGCACAACTCCCCCTCCCCCTCATTTGTCATGCAAAATGCCCGTATTTACTCTTTGCCTCTTGGCACTGTTTGCAGGACAAGTTTTGGTAGCCCAAATAGCACGACTATAATCCAGCGCAAATTTCCGATGCAAAACCAGCATTCTTGCTGATGCTTGTATTGCCGGTCAACATGCTATACAAATGAGGGGGAGGGGGAGTTGTGCGCTGTTATAAGTCCGGACAGTACTTCAAAAAAATCGGGTGCCAGGACGTGTGTTGCAACATGGTCTACTGCATTGCGGACGACGAATGGAAGGTGTGGCCGTTTCAGAAATTTCCAAACCTCCGCACCGCCCAGGCCGCAGTGGTGCAGGAAAAGGGTAAGGCCACGTATTTCCAATCCCCCAATGCGCTGAAGCACCACGTCGTGCGGGCGCCCAATTGCGTTGGCCCCGCGGACCACGTGGGCCGGAAGGTGTACGCGCGGGTCTCCGAGTGCCACCGGTACGTGGGCTTCTTTCACCGCGACTACCGGCACAAAAAGAAGCCCGAAGCGCGGACCTACCGCTTCTTTCCCTACCTGGCGCACCTGAAGCAGTCCACGCCAGTGGTCTGGAATGCGATTGACCCCGCGAATCTGGTGGCGGGGACCGCGGAGCAGGGCTCCTTCTTCCGGCTGGTCACTTCGGAGACCGAAGACGGTCCGGCCATCGTGCAGTGGGCGAGCGAGCACCAGGAGCAGCTGCTGGCCGCGCAGCGGTACATGGAGGGCCAGATGAAAAAAGCCGCGGACGTCGGTAGCAATATTACGTACACCAAGCAAGACACGTCGATGGAAAGCCTGATCCGCGCCCGGAAGCCTTTCTTCCAGGCGCGCGAGTACCTGCAGGTCCCGGTGGGCGGGAACCCCTTTGTGCCCATCGGCTACTGCTGTCAACACGTGGTATCAGCCTGGACAAGTCCCCGTCCCCGTCTTCCCTCCTCTTCTTGACGACATAAACGCCAGGAGCCGCGGAGGTGCTGGCAGTATTAATATTTGGGGCTCGCGCCGCCGTGTTGGCACAACGGCGCGGGGATCTGCGCATAACAATAGAAAAGCAGTACTGCTACTGCAGCAACTAGAAACAGTTCGAAGAGGCTTGGCCGAAGAGCTGGAGCGTGCTTTCTTTGGGGCTGACTGTTCCCGGAAGGGCAGCCGACGCACTAACGCCGCGCGATGATGGCAAACAGCTTGATGGCAACAAAGTACAAAAACAAAAAGGAAGAGCACGCGTAGCCAGGAACATAAAATGAATAAGAAAAGGCGGCCAGCAGAGCGACCGGCCCACCAACTGCAGCCCAACGCCTAGCGCGCCAGATCCGTCCGGCCTCTGTAGTGCCAAAAGCCGGGTCAGGTAGAGGTCGATAAGGGCACGCGCTTCCGCTTGGTGCGCCTCACCGTAGTTGTGCCGTCTGCCTTCTAGGAAATGGAAAGCAGACCCGCGCCGGGCGGCCTCCCCTCCTTCTACTTCAGCTACCCAGCAAGCGCAGGCAGCTAGGGCGAGAACGCCAGCGAGCCTTTGCGGCCCGCAAGTGCGTTTTTGTTTTTAGGTGCGGCTCCTGGCCGTCGCGTTGGTACTCGTCGTAGCAGGTGGCCGCCCGGCGTGGAAAGAAAACGCTACAACCTGCCGAAGGCACCTGCGCCGCTGCACGGACGTAACCTCTGCGGCGGCTCACATCTGTTGCCTTCGCATCAGCCTGCCGCTGTGCGCCGAAAGTTTCTCTTGCGTATGGTCTTGGGCTTGTTGTGTGCATGCTTTTCCATCCGGGCTGCCCTTCGGCGAGGCTACTTGGCCCGATACCCTGTAGCAAGCAGCAGGACCACGCAGCTGCTGGCGGTTGCCTCCCAACAAATCTAAGTAAGAGGCACGCCTGCCAGTGCTGTTTATGTTTTTGAGTTTTACTCTCGGCACCGGCGGCCACGCCTCACAGCATGGAGGCAACAGCCATGCGGCTGGTTGTTTCTGATGAATTAGCCCCAGCCCCACCGCGTTTGGTTCGTTGCTTCTGTGCTCCCGGTGTTGGGCTTCCTAGGCAAGCACCAGGGGCAACAGGAACAGACCGGCCGGGTAGCTGCAGCTGATTAGTGTGAGAAACGATAAAAAAGCCTTTTGGCTGTCGAGCTGTAGGTGCTCGCTATAGGCGGAAGCTGTAGAGCTTAGGCTCTAGAACATCACCAAACAGCTGTAGAGATTCAGCTCTAGCGATTGAGCTCTACAGGTTTTTGAGCTCTAGAGGCGTTCGCCCTAATCGTTATCAATCTTTTTTCGCAGGAGCGTGGTGATTCACCAAGGAAAATTAGGAAAAAAAAGGACATCTCTAGAGATTTGATCCTTCTTGGCCCAGGTTTGAGCCTAGTCTGCACCACAGTAGCATGCAGATTTCAGAAATAAAGCAAGTAGCCTTCTTTGAGCCTTGTTCGGTTCCAGGTTTGGCTCTAGTTGCTGCAAGTACTATAGTTCTCTTGGCTACTTCTAAATTGTTTATAAGGAGGAGGTGCATCATGAAGTGTTGCTGTTTTTATTCAATACTGCTTTCTGGGTACTACTACTAGCAGCTTTCGCAGTTATCTGTTTCTGCATGACAGTGACACTGACAGCCACAACTGGTACTGGTACTGGAGTTCTTGCTGTTTTGCATGAGAAATGAGAACATCAACATGATGGAAGTAGTAGATTTCTGCAGGCTGATACGTGGCGCAGTGGATGTACGATTGGAACTTCAAGTTTCACGACCCCGCGGCCAGACAGCACGAGCAGCATCCGGTGCAGTATGGCGTTCTCGAGCGTTACATTCTCAACTGTTACATGAATCAGTCATGCAAAAGTGCCTTCATCCGGCAGATGATCGAGCGGCTTCGCATGACAAATTTCGGAAGGGCCAAACAGTACCTAAATTTGCGCCAAACTTGTAATGCAAGAGGCGCAATCTTCCTCCTGTCACTTTTGCCAGTCTTGCATTGCAAATTCATGTAACACCAGTTGAGAATGAATGTAACGCTTGAGCACTCCATATGCAGAGCTGCGTGGTGTTCTCGGAAGCCATGGACCGCGGCGGAAAGGACCGCGTCAAGCGCCGGGGCCCCGACCCCCATGACGACTGGGAAAAGCGGGTGGGGAGCATCGACGACCCGCCCAACATGGTACCGCCGATCTACACGACCGCAGAGCCCTTACCGCCGATGCCGACCACGGCCCATCCGACCACCCGGGAGCCGCCAGCCACAACGTCAACGAAATTCCCCCCGCCAACAACGGGGGCCCCGCCCGGCCCAATAACACCGCCCGGCCCCGGTACATCAACAACCACGATCGTGGTACCGCCCGAGCCCTTACCTCCAGGGTAAGGCCTTCTCAAGCGTTACATTCTCTTCAACTGTTACATCAGCTTGCAATGCAAGCATAGCAATAAAACTGAAAGGAGGAGGATTGATGCGCCTTTTGCATATACAAATTCCGCCCAGATTTAGGTGCTGTCTAGCCCTTCGCAGATTTGTCATGCGAAGCAGCTTGACCATCTGGCGGCTCAAGGTGTTTTTGCATGACAAACCATGTAGCAGTTTGTTGAGGATGTAACGTTTGAGAACCCCATACCCGGCCACCGGTTCCGACCACTCCCACCCCCACGACCACCTCTCCCGGCACCGACCTCACGCCCGACGCGATTCACATCCTTGCCAGCAGCGAAGATAAGTTGGAAGGTCCGGATGCGGATGTCGTGGTCAAAGACGACCTGCCCGACGTGGATGAGGCGGCCACGGAGCACGAGTGGTTGTTTCGGACCTTCGAGGAGAAGTGTCCCTGGCTGCAGATCGATCTCGGGCAGACCCGGCGCGTCCAGAGTGTGCGGCTGCTGGTCTCCTCGAGCCGGGCCCACATGCGGCGGCTTTTTTTCGTGACGACGGTGGCCTCCAGCGAGCCGTATGGGGCGGCGAACACCCCCGAGATGACCTCAAACGCGGACGACGAACTCCGGGGCACGCGGACGTGGGACACCACGGATTTGCTGGATTTCGGGGTGCAGGTGCTGGTCACCAAGAACAGCAGGCACCACCACGCGCGGTGCGACGCGACCGGCGGCATATGAACTGCAAAAGTATCGTACTAGTATAAATCGCATGACAAATTTCCCCAGCATGAGTGATAAAATTTGTAATGCGGATTTAACTTGACAAAGAAATTTGTAATGCGTGACTGCCATTACCACGAGTACGATACTTTTGCACTGGATACGGCAGCCCCCAACCCAACTCCGGCGGGCGGCCGTGCGTGTTCCCGGGCCAGACCTGCCCCCCGGTGCGGCCCGGCGAGGTGTGCGAGACGGTCCTGTTCGCCGACCAGTGGGACAAAGATGCGAACAAGAGGCTGATCTTTCGCCCCGGACAGGAGATCCCGACGACGTTTTGGATTGACTGCAAAAACACGGTCCCCGGGCGGTACGTCGTCGTGCAGCTCCCGGGCGTGCGCAGCGTGGCGTCCGAAACGCGGCGGGTGCTGTTCCTGGCGCGCGTTCGGATTTTCGGCCGGCACCTGGAGGACGGGGAGTATTGAGAGGAAAAATCCCCCCTCCCCATATTGAAAAGGTTATGTCTCCGTCGAAAATTTGTGTTGCTAGTTTGAGGCCACGAATCACATTTTTCTTGCAAGACGACGACAAGGGCGGAAGCTTCCGTCCCATTATGATAAAGCGACTTGTCATGCTGTTGGGCTTAAACAAGGTCAGCCGTTGCCGTTTGCAATGCTCAACAACTAGACCCATACGCCCCTACCTAGCCTGGGGATCTGGCCGCAGTTGTGCCTTCCTGCAATACAAAGCTGATTTGTCAGCGTCAGAATGATATGGGGAGGGGGGATAATTTTTCCTTTCGATAGGGAGGACGCGGACTTCACGTCGATGACCACGACCCAGTTGGAAATGTCACCGGATGGCTCCGTGCGGAACGGCGAGCAAAACTTTTTGAAGGACGGGCGGCCGCTGGACACGCTGTTCCGCACGGACTACCTGCAGTGCCCCACACTGACGTTTCAGTTCGCGCAGGAAGTGCAGGTGAGCAGCGTGTATCTCTCCGCCGAGAAGGACCATGCGCACCTCCGGAACCTGTTTCTCCCGAACCCGCAGCGGGGTTTTCTGGATGCCAACGGGAACGTATCAAAGTGCACAACTCCCCCTCGTCCCCCTCATTTGTCATGCAAAATGCCTAATTTACGCCTTGGCTCTTGGCAATGATGTTTGCATGGCAAGTTCTAGCGCCCCAAATAGCACTACAATCCTGCCCAAATTTGTCATGCAAAACCGGCAAAAATCTTGCTGACGCTTGTATTGCTGTTCATGCAATACAAATGAGGGGGCGGCGGGGGAGTTGTGCACTTTCCTAGAACGAGGCTGCGGAAATCAAGGACCGGTTGCTGGAGCAGTGGGCGCACGCTCCCTACGGGGCGCAAGTGAGCCCGGAGAAAAGGCTATCCTGAGTAAAAACGTACCCACACCAGAGTTGTAATGCAGATTTGCAAAGACAGGAAGACTTGTAATGCGCATCCCCATGAGAGCCATTTCCAATCGTGTTTTGGAATTTGTGATGCTGTGAACAGGATGAGCAGACGAATCTGTGACGCGGCTGCACTTGCTAACCTGCACTACACTGCAGAGTGCAACCTGTCATGCGTGACTCACAAAACTCGTAGCTTTGTGTTGCAAAATCCCCAGCCTGGCTCTGGTGTGGGTACGTTTTTACTCAGGATAAAGGCTGGGCGTTGCCGGCAACGCGAACCAGGACCGCGGCGTCCGCGTGTTGGTGTCCCGCGAGGCGCCCACTCCGGCTAGCACCTGCAAGCAGGACGACCCCGACCTGGACAGCGGCACCGTTGAGGTGTGCGAAAACCTCAGGTACGGCCTCCAGGGAGAGGGCCCCTACCGATTTGCGAAACTAGCCGAGGTGCCGGTCGCGCAGACCTTGCCGCCGGGGTTTGCCGACGGGGGCGCGGCGGGCGCGGTAGATACCACCGGGCACTACCAAAAGTACGAGGTGGTGGGAACCGGGTGGTGCAGCTGCGGAGGCGACCCGTGCGAGGATACCTATGAAACGAGTGCACTACGACTCCCGCTCCCCCTCAATTGTATGCCACAAACAGCAACACAAGCGTCGGCACGAGTTCCGGTTTTGCGCGACAAGTTCACCCACATTTGTAGTTTTGTTTTTTATTGAGCTGCCGGAACTTGCCCTGCAATTGCAAAAAGTGTCAAGGAAGAGGCAAGCGTCAAGTCGGAGGTCGAGTTGTGCACTCTTATAATGCCCCGGCGTCCCCGACAAACGGCGACTACATCGCGGGCAACGCGGATCGCGCGCAAGACTACTGCCAAAGATTCTGCGACGAGGACCGGGGATGTCAGGCCTACATGCAACAGCGTGACATGCAACAGCGTGACATGCTTCCAGGAAACTGCCGCTTGTTCGGGTACGAGGACTACGAGGTAGACGGCGTCTATCCAGGAAAAAGCACCCATCCCCATCCAATTTGTCACGCAAAACATGCATAAGGTCGACTGTTTGTCATGCAAAAAATGGATGGGGATCATGGGTGTTTTTCCCTGGATAGCGTCGTCAGCATCATCACGCGGGGAGGCCTTGGCTACGGGGTCGGAAAAATTCCTGCCGGGTGGCGGTCCGGGGTCCCGTGCATGAAAAAGACGGGACACGCAGCGACCTCGGGGAAGCCGATCTACACAAATCAGGGCGACGCCTGGTGCAAGTGCAACTTGAAAAACCACAACCTGAACAAGAACGGGGCCGCAGGAGGCGTCCGCGTCAGTGCGACAAACCTCCCCTGCCCGGTACAAGGGTCCGAGGAGCAGTATGCATTGCAAATATAGTATCGCTCTCGTATAAATGCGAGTGCAGCTGCATCATGAGCATTACAGATCTGCTCTCTTACCTATACCTGTGAATCTACATGACAACTTCCATCTTTCTTAAAGGAAAGATTTGTCATGCAATTCATTCCACTGCGATATCATATATTTGCAATTCATAAGCAAGACGGGAAATTGATTTTCTCCAGCTATGACAAAGGTCCCGACTGGTGCAAGACCCTGTGTGACAAGGACAAGGACTGTCGTGCCTACCAGCAGTCTATGGTGAACGCCGAAACGGCCGCTAACTGCAGGCTCTTCAACGCAGACGATGTCGATGGCGGCATCAACGCTGCCGACGATCTATCAAATGTAAAAATGTCTGGGTCTGGAAGATTCTGACACTTGTCATGCACCTTCTGCATGAGCCGTGATGTCTGTGATGCATGCCCTAGCATCACAGATTTTTTGAGAGCTTCTTGATGCCTATTCCGCATGACAAATGCCCTTTCCGCGTAGCAAAAATTGCATTCTCTTTGGTACTCATGCAATACAGATTTGTTTGGAATCCAAATGCAGCATCACAAATTGCATTCTTCCAGACCCAGACATTTTTACATTTGATACGATCCGGAGTTGTACAACGATCTGAGCGAGGTGCAGAAGATATCGAAGGGAAAAATCCCCCCTCCCCATATCAAAACGAAATTTCTGATGCTGGATCTGTGTGCACAAATCAGCTTTGTATTGCAGGAGGGCACTGCGGCCAGATCCCCAGGCTATGTAGGGGCGTATCGGTCTAGTTGATCAGCATGGCAAACGGCTGCGCTTTAGGCCCAGCAGCATGACAAACCGCTTCCCTAATGGGCGCGAAGCTTTTGCCCTTGTCTTCTTGCAAGACAAATGTGATTTGTGACCTCAAATCACCAATACAAATTTTCGGAAACATGCCTTTTCGATATGGGGAGGGGGAGTTTTTCCTTTCAATAGAAGACGTGGAATAGTTACGCTTGCAACCGGAAGGTCGAGAGACCGGCGGTGATTGGGGAGGCAAAGATCGACTGCACGGGCACGAAAGGGGGCAAATTTGTGACGATCCAGCTGCCGCAACCCATCCTTGCCACGGGGGTGGACGACGCAACCGCGACCACGCGCAGCCTCGATCTCACCGAAGTAAACATTTTTGGCCGCGTATGGGAATGTCAGGATTAAAATCGTCAAAGTTGAAATAGTTTGTCATGTATAAAATCGATACGAGTCGGAATCCCAATTTTCAAGCAGCGCATGACAAATTTCGGCACCGTCTAGATCCAGTTTGTCATGCTGTTTAGGGACAGGCGTGGTCTTTTGTCATGCTACTTTAGCAGCTCTACCGCAGAACCGGGGAGGGGATCCTTGACCTGTGGCGCCGGGAGCGGGTGTCCACTACATGATGATGATCCCAAACAGGCTGGCAGTCGGCCTCAGTCACTTACACTTGCCATTCCTGCAAGAGAGGCAGTTCATGCCTTGCAATTTATGCATGAGAAATTCTTTTAACTTTGTCGATTTCAATCCTGACGCTTCCATACCGCGTGGCTGGCGCTGGCGTAACGGCCGCACGAGGTGGTGGACACGGGAACGACAACGAGGACGTCGTGCCCGTTATTTCGCAGGAGATTGATCTGACCCCCACGGTATCAAATGTAAAAATGTCTGGGTCTGGAAGATTTCTCGATTTGTCATGCATATTTTCCACTACCCATGATGTCTGTGATGCATGCCGTAGCATCACTAATTTTTATTTTTCGAGCGCTTTGTGATGCCTCTACAGCATAAGAAATGACCTCTCCGCGTAGCACAAACTGGAGTCCTCTTGCTGGTCATGCAATACAAATTCACCGGTGGAAACGTTACCGTGCTCTTGGAAATACCGAACTTGACCAGGACATGCAGCCACTCTAACGGTTCCACTCGGGTCCGACCCCCGTTAGAGCTTGACCCTTTTCCCCCGAGGTCCTACCTGAGGTAGTGGTCGTAAAGGGGATATAGTGGTTGAGGGGTAAATAAGGTCACGCAATACAAATTTTCTCAGAATCCAGAGACAGCATCACAAGTTTTGAATGTTCCAGACCCAGACATTGTTACACTTAATACACGGGCGACGCCTCGCGGGTTTTGGCCAGCAGCACGACCGAGTACCACCCCCACGTGCCCGCGCTTTCGCAACCCCGCAACGTGATCGACGGGCTGGCGTTTGTGACCTTTTTCCAAACGCGACCGATATGGCGTTCTCAAACGTTACGTTCTCAACTGTCACATGAAGTTGTAATGCAAGGATGGCAACAGTGAAAAGATGAAATTGTCATGCTTGCAGCTCTCGCATCAACACAAATTTCGAACGGATTATAGTGCTGTTTAGCCCTTCCAGGATTTGTCATTCGAAGTAACCTTGGTCGTCTGGCGGCTTATGGTAATTAATTTTGCATGACAAATCACGTAACGGTTGAGAGTGTAACGCTTGAGAATCCCATAACCGAGCCCCTGTCCCTGGGTGCAGGTCGACATCAGCGGGCCGCGCAATCAGCCCCGTAGTGTGACGCGAGTGGTGCTCATCTCGCAGATGAAAAACGCGCGCATACTATCCTACGTAAAAACATCCCCACCCCAGAGTTGTCATGCAGATTTGCAAGCACAGGAGCATTTGTAATGCGCATCCCCATGAGAGAGGCACTTCCCATCGTGTTTTGAAACTTGTAATGCTGTAAACAGGATAAGGAGACGGAAGTGCTATGCGGATTCCCTTGCTATGCTGCACTACAGTACAGCCACAGCCCGCAACTTGTCATGCGTGACCCCCAAAAGTTCTAAGTTTGTGTTGCGAAATCCCCATTTTGACTCTGGGGTTGGGACGTTTTTACTCAGGATACACACGCCAGATGCTGCTCCCCACCTCGGGATACGACGAAGACTGGTTCGACACCGCGAACGCGGTGGAGCAAACCAGCTGCAGGCTATGACACTGCACAACTCCCCCTCCCCCTCATTTGTCATGCAAAACACCAAACCCAGGCTGTGGCTCTTGGCGCTGCTTGCATGACAAACTCCGGAAGTAGCCCAAGCAGTGCTACTTACACTTCTGGGCAAATTTGTCATGCAAAACCGGCATTCTTACTGACGCTTGTATTTTTGCCGTTCATGCTACACAAGTGAGGGACGAGGGGGAGTTGTGCACTCTTATACAGGCAGGCAAGCTGCCAGGAGGACACTGGCGTGGAAGTCTGGGTGCGCAACAGTCCGTTGACAACGGCGAATCAGGTGAATGCAAGCCCAATTCTATCACAGTGAAAAATGCCCCCCACCCCTGAACTTGCAAGAATTTGTGATGCGAAGTTTCCAAATGAAAGCTTTTTGTCATGCATGAAAGGAGTGCGAATCTTTCTGATGCAGATTCCAGTCGTGTTTCGCATCGCTTGCGTGACAAGTACCGCTCTTGCTGGGATCTTTTGCAACACAAATTTTTGCTATTCACAATCGGAAATCTGTGATGCTGATACACGCAAGAGGGCGAATGTTTCATTTGGAAAGATTTGCAATACAAATGCTTTCAAGTTCGGGGGTGGGGGCATTTTTCATTGTAATAAATTCCGGGACAAGATGAACTACAAGGAAATACGAACTGCGGGCAGGTAGCGCAAGAGGCGTCGTTGTGCGAGCGGGTACACTTTGGCGACCGAAAACGGTTTCGGTTTCTGGGAAAGGGCGTCGCGGGCTTCGACGACGAGGACCAACACAGTCTCATGTATATGGCGTTCTCAACTGATTTGTCATGCAAAATTTTCATAAGTCGCCAGAAGATTAAGGTGCTTCGCATGACAATTTTTTCGAAGGGCTACACAGCATCTAAACGCGTTGCAAATTTGTGACGCGAGACTCGCAAGCCTGCCCCTTTCCATATTGCTGGTCTTGCATCACAAGGAATTCGTGTAACCATTGAGAATGTAACGCTTGAGAGCGCCACAATGTACGGCGACAGCGTCGGGGAGCTCACCGTTGATTGCAAGCGGCACCAGGCGGAAAAGACCCGCGCCGTTGTGGTGGTCCTGCCCCCTGGAGAGCAGGGCGAGGACCGTGTCCTTAGCTTGCTGGAGCTGCAGGTGTTCGGTTTGCACGAGGATGGGGCGGGCGGGGCGCCGACCCCACCGCAGCCCTCCCCTGGTCCCTCGCCGACCACTGCGGCACCGCCCGCACCGGGCCCGCGTACCACCGTGGAGGGAGTCTATCTGCTTCCGACGGGGCCATACATGCTGCCGAACACACAGGAGTCCGCCCCAACGGACGACGATCCCTTCGCAAGGTGTCGCGTGGATCCGCCACAAGACCGCTTCGTGGGACGACACCCCGAATGCGCGGACCCGCCGCTGGGCAACGCGGCAAAGCACCAGGCCGTCGAAGCCGGCAGGTGGTGGAAGCAGCGTTTTGGGAGCCCGGCGTACAACAGCCGCGACTCGCCACGTTACCCCGCGAACTTGGTGTTTCTCGTGTCGCCGCTGCGCCGCGCCATGGAGGCGTGCGCGATGTTTATCAGAGGCGCTGCGCCCTTTCCCGGCGCGGAAACCGGCACCGCGGTGTCTCTCCTAATCGAGGAAGGCTACGGAGCGGACCTCGGGAAAAATCCATTGGACGAGATATCAAACGCAAATATGTCTGGGTTTGGAAGAGTGGAAGGCTCGTCATGCATATTTTGAATGACCCATGATGTGGTCTGTGATGCATGCCCTAGCATCACAGATTTAGCCGAGAGGGCTTTGCGATGCCTCTACAACCGCATGAGATGAAATGCCCTCTCCGCGTAGCGCAAATATACAACTGGTTTCCTCTTGCTGGTCATGCATGCGTCCGTAGCCATTTTGGCTCAAGACTTCTTGTCTTGTGGCCCTTTTCCCACTTTAGAGACGGGGCCGCACCCCCGTGAGATCAATTCGTCCGGACTCACCGTGGAGATCAACCCCCGTGAGATCCAAGATCCGTAGAGGCACTCTGTAACAGGCATCAGGTGCGGCTGGTGAACCTTTTGACTCACACGTAGATTGTAGATTGTTTCTCTAAAAGAAAAATCAAAGCAAAAAAAATGAGCACACACTTGCCCTCCATCCGAAGCGCGCACGTGCGCAATGAAGCTTCGATGGTCCCAGCGGGCATAACGCCCGGTCTTACTCGTTACTCCCTTCATCTGCCCTCACCAGCCGTCCCCGATGGCGTTCGATTGTGGGGCCCTTGATCCCCACGTAGAAGCTCTTCGCGGGTTTCTTCTTGCCGGGTGGAAGACGGTGCGCGTCGGTTTTTTTTTGGCGGTCTGGGAGTTCCGTGTAGGTCTTTGTTCCTAGGGGCGCTTGTCGACGCCCTGCGGCGGAGCGGGCGATCGGGAGGACTCGACGCTACTTGTGGACGCCATCTCCGAGCTGTCGATAGTAGAGGAGTTCTGCCGCACATCTCCGCGTCACGAGGATGCCGCGCCCACTAGCGGATCGCCCTGCTGCGCTGGAGATCAGGGACTTTTTATTTATTGTTTTTCGTTTGTCTCACACTCTCACACACTCGAATACTTATGAAAAGATCATAGTACCAGACCCATATTTCCTTTTTTTCTTCGTTTGAGTTTGTCGCCCCTCCTAATCCTTTGGTCTGTGTTGTGGCAGCGGATTGTCCTCTGACCCTTACGTAGCCTTATGGCAACCCCTTTCCATATGATTGAACTCAGGTTTTGTGTGGTAGCTGCGCTGGCAGCGCGTTTGTGCGGCTCTCTACTCCTGCGAGGTGCGACGTTTTCAATGCGGCTGGGCTTTGCGGATCCAAACTGCGCGGAGGTGGTGGTGGCGATGGCGGGTTGATTACGGTGCGGGAATTCGGGTCGCCAGCCCCGGGTCTCACAGAGTACTGAACGGTGCTTACCAGCTGGATAGACGAGTGAGGGGTGATTACTCGTAGGGGAGTTGTTTATGGCTCGCGGTCGTCTTTCTGTCGTCCTGGCGTCGTTCGTGGGGGTGTGGCGCGGGGGTGGAGCGATCCTCGACGAGCGGTGCGGTTGCGGCTTTGTCGCGTCGAGCGGAGCGGAGCGTCGCTGTGTCTCCTCGGCATCGTCTCTTCGTGGCCTGTCGTGCGTAGTCCTAGGTGGGGTCCCTATCCCGGCCATTGCAATAGGGCTTTTTGGTGGACTGCTGGAGACCCCAGTCCAGTCGCATCGCGACGTTATTTTTCAGCTGCAGGAGACCCCAGCTATCCCTTTGCTCTGCCCAAGTCCCTCGTCTTTGTCTGTTCGTCGTGTTTTGCCTGGTTTACCGCTGGAAACGATGCCGTGCTTTTGGAATTCCGGTTTCGACCAGGACATGCAGCCACTCTAACGGTTTCACTCGGGTCCGACCCCCGTTAGAGCTTGACCCCATCCCCCCGAGGTCCTACCTGAGGTAGTGGTCGTAAAGGGGGTATAGTGGTTGAGGGGTAAATAAGGTCATGCAATACAATTTTTAGTTTAGAAGCTCCCAGACCCGGACATATTATTTGCAATCCATACGAGAGCGACAATAAGTTCCCCGAAATTTACCTGGTCCCACAGCTTCGGGAGGTGCCAAACAACGTGGACAACCACGGGACGGCGGTTGCTTTGTATTAAAAGGAAAAATTATCCCCCCTCCCCATATCGAAACAAAGTTTCTGATGCTGGATTTCCGTACATAAATCAGATTTGTCTTGCTGGAGAGGACTGCAGGCATATGCCAAGCCTCAGTCGAGAGCAGGGTTTGACGTAGGCGCCTAGCATGGCGAATGTGTATTCTCTAAGCCCAACAGCATCACAGACCACCTGGAAAGTGCGGGGCGCTCTCTGGACTTGCCTTCTTGCAAGACAGACAGGATTTGAGGTCACAAATGCGCGTCACAAATTTTCAGACGGTGGATATGTTTTCAATATGGGTAGGGGGGATTTTTCCTTACGATACTTTGTGGGAGAAGTTCAAGGAAGAGGTTATGAAAGCCTCAGGTTGGAAATCCTCAAAGTGGAAATAATTTGTTATGCAAAAAAACGACTCCAGTTGAAGCGGCATTTGTAGTCGGCGCATGTCAAATTTCCCGGGCACTTAAAGCACGTCTGTCATGCAGGTTAACGCAAGGGGGTGCCCTTCTGTCGTGCTACGCAGCGCTCCAATTCTTCACCCCTAGCAGGACAATAGTCGGCCTCCATTGCGTTCTCTGCAATACAGTCTTTTTTGCGTCGCATTTCATGCATCACAAATCATTTCCACTTTGAGCATTTCCAACCTGAGGCTTGCATAGAGGTGATCCGCGTGCAGCTGCTGAACCCGCTACTGAATGAGGCCAACGGCGGGACGGCGGACCGCCGGATTTCGGAGTGGTTCGACAAGGTGCAATTATTGAAGCGTCAGGTTTGAAATCGTCAAAGTTGAAATAGTTTGTCACGCATGAAACGGATACCAGTTAGACCTACAGTCTGTAGTCGGCGCATGACAAATTTTCCCGGTCCTGGAAGCGGGTCTGTCATGCGGTTTAGGGCAAAAGGGCTGCCTTCTGTCATGCTAGTCAGCAGTCCAACTTTTACCAGGACTATAATCTGCTTCCCATGCGTCCTCTGCAATAGAGTCACTTCTTGTATCGCATTTTATGCATGACAAACAAGGTCCGAGCACGGGGACAGAGTCCCCGTGCGGCGACCTTCCGGCATTTGTCTGGGACGAGTTCGGGGGTTGTCGTGGTGGCGCACAGGGCGGGCAGGCCCCTGCAGCTCGGTGCCTCTGTGTGTCCTGCGCTCCCTGATCCGCGACAGACCTACGGACGGAGCCCCTCTGCTTGCCCACACTAGATCCGCTGGCCCACCGCGAACAGTGAAACAAAGAGAAAAGAAAGGAAGAAGCTGGCGCCGGGCCGGGTGCCGATAGCGCCGGCGCCGCGTCTGTAGCTGGCCCCTAGGTCATGACGCGGGGACCGAGTCCCCGCGCTGACCTAGGGCTTCTGCCCCTGGGCCGTGCGGTTAGTTTCCGGGAAGCGCCCGCAGCAGCTGGCCCCTAGGTCATGACGCGGGGACCGAGTCCCCGCGCTGACCTAGGGCTTTTGCCCCTGGGCCGTGCGATTTATTAGCTTCCGGGAAACGCCCAAAGCTGGCCCCTAGGTCATGACGCGGGGACCGAGTCCCCGCGCTGACCTAGGGCTTCTGCCCCTGGGCCATGCGGTTAGTTTCCGGGAAGCGCCAAAAGCTGGCCCCTAGGTCATGACGCGGGGACCGAGTCCCCGCGCTGCCCTAGGGCTTTTGCCCGTGGGCCGTGTGGTTAGTTTCCGGGAAAGAAGCGCCCGCAGCAGCTGGCCCCTAGGTCATGACGCGGGGACCGAGTCCCCGCGCTGACCTAGGGCTTTTGCCCCTGGGCCGTGCGGTTAGATAGTTTCCGGGAAACAAACGCCCAAAGCTGGCCCCTAGGTCATGACGCGGGGACCGAGTCCCCGCGCTGACCTGTGCTCTCGCCCCTGGGCCGTGCGGTTAGTTTCCGGGAAACGCCCGAAGCTGGCCCCTAGGTCATGACGCGGGGACCGAGTCCCCGCGCTGACCTAGGGCTTTTGCCCCTGGGCCGTGCGAGAAGCCCGCTCACTCCGGACACTTGAGCCCGCTCTGGATATTTATTCGATTCGGATCCAGGTATGTTTTCTGCTCTGGATACTCAGGCTCTCTGCCCCCTGCTCTGAATGTGGTAGCCGAGGGCGCGCCGGGGGTTTGTCTGGGGTGTGTCGGGGGTGTGAGACGGGGGTCCCTGGGGTGTGACGGGGGGGTGTGTCGGGGGTGTGTCTGGGGTGTGTCCGGGGTGTGTTCGGGGTGTGTGTTGCAAATTGCAAATCACGACGCTACGCAGCCACATTGCATACCCCAGAACACACCCCAAAGCTTCAGCAGTTCTTGTCGGGGGGGGTGTGTCGGGGGTCTGTCTGGGGTGTGTTCGGGGTGTGGCCTGCAAATTACAAATCACGATGCTACGGACCCACTTTGCATACCCCAGAACACACCCAAAAGCTTCAAAAGTTCTGGTTTGCTGCAGTTTAAATAGTAATTGTTTCAACTTTGACGATTTCAATCCTGACACTCCCATAGCAATTCGGTAGAGATTATTGGGACCGGACGCGGGGCCGCGCACCCTCCTCCTACTACAAAGGGGACATCGGTAGCAGGAGGACCTCCTTCGAGCATTGGTACCGGGCCCTGGTCTATCAAATGCAAATATGTCTGGGTCTGGAAGGATGCGAACTTGTCATGCGTGTTGCGGAGCATACAAAAACCTGTATTGCATGGCTTGCAATATCAATAAAAGCCGTCCCCATAATTTCTGGCCAGGCTGAGAGGGCATTTCTCATGCAGCAGCATAGGCGTCACCAGGGGGCTGCAGAACCTGTGCAGATTCTATGCCCTGCATTCCAGCCTTGGTGGAGCTTGGAAAAACTGCATGACAAATCTCGGTGGAATCTTCCAGACCCAGACATATTTGCGATCCATATGGTCGAGCTTGGGTTCGACGCGTCGGCGACCCAGGTCGTGCCCGTATCCTGTGCAAAAGTATCGTATTCGTATAAATGCAAGTCTTGCATTACAAATCTTTCTTTTAAGGTAAAGCCGCATTACAAATTTTATCTCTCATGCTGAGGCCTGAGGAAGTTTGTGATGCATTTATACGAGTACGATACTCTTGCAGTTCATAGCCCGACCTAACGGGCAAAGTCGTGGTGTTGGTTACCGGTGTGGAGCTACTCGATCAGTACTTCTACTTGTACAAGGAGGATAGGACTACTCTCATTAACCCACAAGCGCTGAAGGATCCAGAGCAAAAAGTCACCACGATGTTTGAGGTTGAAGATATTGCTACCTGCCTGGCGGGGAAAATAAAGTCCAGCGCAACTGTCTCCGCAACGACCTCGTCCAGCACCGGAGCGCAGGCAGGCGGTACTAGCAGTACCACGTCAAATGCGTGGCCTGCTCCTCCTGTCGCAGGATCAATAGACGAATGCGGGCGGAAGGCGAATGCGCTCTGGAGCCTCACAGCTGGCCGCTTGAACATTGACTGCGAACTGGAGGCGAACTGGATATCGATAGGGGCGAAGGAAACCGGAGCTGCACGCGGGGAGCAAGGCAATGAAAACGTCGAAGTGATTTGGTCTGAAAACCAAGAAAACGTCGAAATGATCTGGTCTGAGTGCAGTACGACCTGCGGGCCCGGGGTGAGGTTTCGGAAGAAGTTTGTGCTTACCGTATCGTAAGGAAAAATCCCCCCTCCCCATATCGAAAAGGCACGCCCCAGAAAATTTGTCATGCTGATTTGTGGCCTCAAATGATCGTCTCTGTCTTGCAAGAACGCAACCGCGCAGGCTCTGCCGCACTCTGTTGGCGGTTTGTGATGCTGTTGGCCCTACAGACTACACTTTTGCCATGCTCAGCGCCTAGCTCAAAGCTTCCCAGTTCGGGCTTAGTATAAGCCTGCCGTCCTCTCCAGCAAGACAGATCTGATTTGTGTACGCAGATCCAGCATCAGAGACTTCGTTTTGATATGGGGAGGGGGGATTTTCCCTTTTGATATACCGAGCCCGTAGGTCGTGACGGCGCGCTGTGCGAGACGCTGCCCGAGGCTAAAGTGGGCGGGGAGGTGATAGCGGTGGAGTTTCCGCAGGAGCTTCACCCGGTGACCAAAAAGAAAACCCGGGTGCTAAAGCAGTACCATGGCTGCAACCTGATGTCGTGCAACGTCGATTGCGTCCTGGAGGAGAGCTGGCAGTTGGACGACGCCGAATGTCCGTATCAAATGTAAAAATGTCTGGGTCTGGAAGAATGCTAGACTTGTCATGCATATTTTGCATGACCCATAATGCCTGTAATGCATGCCCTAGCATCCCGGATTTCTAGAGGGCTTACTCATGCCTATTTCGCATGAGAAATGCCCTCTCCGCGTAGCACAAACTGGAGTCCTCTTTCTGGTCATGCAATACAATTTTTTTTTGAATCCAGAGGCAGCATCAAAAGTTTAGAATCTTCCAGACCCAGACACTTTTGCATTTGATAGTCCGTGCATGAGCGCGAATCCGCAGAAAGACCAATGGAAGCTGATAAAAACTCCGCCGGCTGGCACGGGGAAACCCTGCAGCCAGCTCGCTGGGGTGGCGCGCGTCGATTTTGATGCAAATCCGCCACGAGCGTACGGGGCGCCTGTGGATTGCGTCTGCGACTGCCTGCTGGAGGACGGGGACTGGAAGGAAGGTGCCTGTGACTGCGCCACCCCCACCGCGCAGCAGCGCATGTGGAAGAGGGTGCGACACTTCGAAGCCCATGGGGGTAAGACGTGCGATATCACACAGAAAAAAGCTAGGCTGGTAATTAAGTATCTGTAATGCGAAAATAAATTAATACTAATACACAAAAAAGTCTATATTTTTACGAATCCTAAACAGCACGCTATGGGACTGCCCATAACTGGTTTTTGCTGTGTATTTGTTTTTGCATTACAGATTATATGCCCAAACTGCATTTTTCTCTGGGATATGCGACGAGGTTTACCACCCAACTGATGCCGATTACCCACGCTACCACTACGTGGCAACATGGAACCAGGACGACCCCATGATAGCATACAGCCATAAAGTGCAGTGCTCCCCCGATGCCGTTTAACGTATGAAAAAACTGTCTCAGTCTCTTCAAAGAACCTCCTTTGCAGTTTGAGCAATCGAAATCTGCGAGGCAAGAAACAGAAAATCAGATCTGTGATTCGTTCTTCAGACAAAAGGGAGCGAACATGTGAATAAACACGCCTTCCTTTTTACATCTCAAGCATGGCAAAAAACTGTCTCAACGAACAAGGAAGTTGCGCATTTTTACAAGTTGAGACTGAGACACCACTTTTTTCACACGATACCGGCCAGGCCTGCGAAGATGTCGTGTTCGACGTTCCGTGCCACTGCCGGAGAGGGGATAAGGATATCAAGTGCAAATATGTCTGGGTCTGGAAGGATTGGATGCTGCAGAGGCTTGCGATGCAGCTTTCGCATGACCCAGAAGGTCTTTCTTCATGCAAGCCCTAGCATGATCGCAGCAGTTTTATTTGAGAAGGCTCTTGATCAATGACAATGCCTGATCCGCACGACAAAGCCGTGCTTTTGGTGGCCAGAAATCTTCAATGGGTAGAAGGTCGCTCTGTAGTCCGTGCACGTCGGATCTGTTTTGTGTGGCTAACATCTGAAATTTTTATGCGCTTCAGAAGTTTCGTGCGCGTTTCCAGACCCAGACTGACAGATTCGCAATGCACAGCTGACCTCACGCTGCAAACGGCGCCGCCGGCGCCGTCAGCAGCGTTTTCCGACGTCGTCAGCACCGTTAACGCGGACAATATCCTGAGTAAAAGCGTCCCCAACCAGAGTCAAGATGGGAACTCTGCTAGACAAATCGGCCAACTGCAACTTTGGGTGTTTCGCATGACAGTTTTGCCCTCGTAGTGCAATCCTGTTTAGCTAGTTCAGCAGCGTCACAGATCTAGCACGTCATGCGTATTTAGAGCATCACAAATGATCCCACAACGCGACTAGAAAATGGGGCCTCGCGCGAGAAAGTTTTTTGGCATGCAGATTTGCATGACAACTCATGGTGTCCGCCTGACCTTCCCAGCACCCTCCCTGCACCACAGCCATCTGTGGCTGTTTGCACAGGGGGAGGCAACGTGTGTCGCACTTCTGTTTAGCATGACAACTGCTCTGGGGTGGGGGTGGTTTTACTCAGAATAGACAACCAAATCGAGTTATCCGAGTTCCAGAAGCCGCAATTCTATGGTGCTAATGACTTGACCAATACTCTTTTCATGTGCATCGACCGGGACGGGAGTGGGTTCCTGTCGGAAACTGAATACAACACGTGGCACAACAAGCCAAACAGCATCTGTCGAGTGGACTGCCAGCTAGCCTTCGCCTGGACTGACGACGGGTGCGCATGTATCCAAAAAAGCGTCCCCATACCACAGTTGTCCTGCAGAATTGCATCAACAGGGAGAAGATCTGTGTTTGTCATGCGGATTTAACATGAGACGCATTTTCAGTCGTGCCTCTGAATTTGTGATGCTGGAAACAGGATAAGCAGATGGAGTTGTGATGCGGTCGCCCTTGCTAACCTGCACTACAATACGGAGACAATAAACTTGTCATGCGTGACTCCCAAAAGAACCCCTGAGTTTGTGTTGCAGAGTTCCCAACTTGACTATGGGGTGGGGACGTCTTTGCACAGGATAGCCTGTGAGCACGACAAGATGCGACAGCGCAAGAGCATTGTCAAGCAGGCCGCGCTATGTACTGCAAATATGTCTGGGTCTGGAAGAATGTAACTTGTGACGGTGCTGCATTTGGATACTACAAAAATCTGTATTGCATGAACAGCAAAAGAACTCCATTTTTTGCCACGGCGAGAGGGCATTTGATTTCTCATGCGGTATGGGCATCAGGAAGCCCTCACAAATACAAAATCTGTGATGCTACTAGGGCATCAACATGCATCACAGATGACGTTCCGAGTCATGTAAAATGTGCTGCGTGGCAGACCTTGCATCCTTCCAGACCCAGACATATTCGCACATGATACGCGCGCGAGGGCAAAAGTTGTCAGTCGGTGCTCGAGGAAGGTGGCGCCCAGGACCGTACTAACACCGCGGTCCTGATGCCTAACAGCGACCAACCACAGTACGTGATATCCTGTGCAAAAGTATCGTATTCGTATTGCAGTCATGCATTGCAAATCTTTATCTTTTTCTTATAGTTAAATCAGCACTACAAATTTTATTTCTCGTCATGCTGAGCATTATATACGAATACGAGTGCGATGCTTTTGCATTTCATACATGATGAGGTTCGTCGAAAATGATCAATGCAGAGAGGATTGCACGTGCGAGCTTGGCACAGAGGTACAACACACCCCCTGTCCCTGTGAGAAAAGGAAAACGTGGAAGATGATTGCGCGGTTCGAGAATCCGAATCTTCCGGGCGCCACACGGTGCAACCAGATGCCTGGCATCGCCTACACAGATCCACGAAGCACCCCGATCGGCACAGCCAAGGCGTACCTCGGAGGGCCCCTATGCATTGCAAAAGTTGTTGTATCCGATCATACTAGTTGTAGTACGAACTGCAACATATACAAATTAGTTCAGCGTGAGAAATGGCATTCGTTATGCAAATGCTGGCTCACTTGTCTTAGTTGTAAAGAAGATTTGTCACACGTATCTACAATTAGTACGTGTACCATTATATTTTTGCAATGCATATCCACTGCCTGACTGCAACTGCCCTGTGGACTGTGCTTGGAACGCTTGTATGCATGGCAAATATGTCTGGGTCTGGAAGATTGCAAGTTGTCATGCTAAATCTGAATCATGCAAAAATCAGATTTTTAAAATCTGTGTTGGATGGTTAGCAAAAGCCGTCCGCTTTTGACCAAGTTTAAAGGGAATTAATATTTACATTGCTTGACTTCCGGGTTCTGGTACAGCATACCCCCGGCGACAGGTGACCTTGACAGGTGACCTCGACAGGTGGCCTTGACAGGTGACCTCGACAGGTGACCTTGACAGGTGACCGCGACGGGTGAACGCCCTGCCTTCCCCCGCTAGTGCTTCGCGCACTAAGCCACTATGCGCGCGCCTGGTGTGAGGCGAGGGGCGGACGCTGTCCGCCCCGATGCCGAACACCTTTCCCCCACTAGCGCCACGAGGGACGGGCACAAGGCCCCAGCGTGGGGACCCTGTCCCCACGCTCGAGTGGGCCTTGTTTCTCATGCAGGATAAGCATGGTAAAGATCTCACAGAAATAATTGGCATGCTGGGTCCTGGATGCCACCAGACCTCATCGGTCATGGAAAACCTGCGTGAAACCTCTTGCAATCTTCCAGACCCAGACTACATGTTTGCATTTGATAGCTTGGTTGCCGTGGTCCTATCAAGAACGAACAAATGTGTAGTCTGGGTCTGGAAGAATGCCGATTGCATTTGTTTTTGTGATGCGGGTGCGGCCAAGCCTTGGAATGTTCATATTTTTGCGGGGGTCAGCATCACAGATCTTCCTGGCGAGGCTCTGGCTCTGCAAGAATCCCTGTCTTGCATGAGAAATCCACACTCTGTGACTACGTCACAGGAACTTGGAATTATGTTTCGCTACTTTGACAAGACGGATTTTACTATTTCGACCGGTATACTTAGATGAAAGTTGCATTTTAATTTTTGATCCAGGTGTCCCAGGACCAGGAGTATACTAATTTGTACTGCATAGGTCCGTTTGCACTGCATCCTGCGGCGCCGCGACACAGTCACGCACACGAACAAAAAGCGTCGTCGAACAGAATCAGGGGCGATGTCCAGGAAATACCGAGGGCCGTTGGGTATCAAATGTAAAAGTGTCTGGGTCTGGAAGATTGCCAGGTTTGTCATGCACATTTTGCATGACTTTGACTCCTGATGTCTGTGATGCATGCCCTAGCATCACTGATTTTGTGAGGGCTTCCTGATGCCTATACCGCATGACAAATGCTCTTTCCGTGTAGCAAAACTTGGAGTCTCTTTGCTGATCGTGCAATACTTACAGACTTTTTTAGAATCCAAAACCAGCATGGCAAGTTGGATTCTTCCAGACCCAGACACTTTTACAGTTGATATTGGGATCCGACGAACAACTGGCAGGTGTATGGGGTTCTCAAGCGTTTTACTCTCACTTGTTACGTGAATTGTCATGCAAAAACGCTATCACTCTTCGCATGATCAAGCCTTCTTCGCATATTTTTATTTTTTGGAGCGGGGCATATTATTTTTTCTTGCTTTGCTTAGAGTTCGGATGCGTCGTCCCGACTTCGGATGAGAAAAGGTCGTGTGGCGTACTATGTATGGGCTTAGAGCCAGCGCAGCTGAAGCCCTACTGCGCTGGACTTCCGGTTGGCCACGACTGGACTGTCCTTCATCTGGTAACCAAAGCGTGCGCAAGCGCTCGCAAAGCGCTCTTTGCGAGATGCTCATCCATCGCAAACGCAGCGCGAAGGCTTTGCCGTTGCCATATGGGAGGGACTCGGGAGTATGCAACCACTCGCAAAGTCGGGCATTTCCAAGTGTGTTCTGCCTTCAGAAAGCGGATCGGGCAGAATTTGTGGGAATTTTACCGAAAGCAGCCAAAACAGCAATTACCAAGCGGGGAGAGGGTAAAAAAGACCAGTTTTGCAGCTCCGCCCGGTCTGAATCTGAAAAAAGATTGTGGCATTTTCGGCAAAAGCTGGTGGTGTGATGCGTTTTATAGCGGAAAATGCGTCACTTCCGGGCAGCTCCAGCCGCTTGCAAATTGAAAAAAGCGTTGAAAAAATGTAATTTTTCGCAGCATACAAGCGGCCGACAAAATTTACCGATTTTCTGCAGTCCCCGGAAGCCGCTTGGAAATTGAAAATGACAATTTTTGCTGAAAAAGCAAAAGCCGCTTAGAAATTACCGCTCCAAGACGGTTTTTCAAATTGTCACACGGCCCACACCGTCGAGATTGGACGAAAAAAAACAGCTTTTAAGCCTGCGGAGGTGTGTCACACGGGCACGGTTTTCGTCATCTCTGAGGGTCGCGAAATGAGATCTCCTCCCGCTTGAAAATGCCCGATCTGGGTGGCCCAAAAGGGCAGCAGGAAATGAAGAAAATTGCATCACTTTTTGAAATTTGTGTATTTTACCTGGCCATCGTGCCCCCGTGCGTAACGTCATGTGGGGCGGTATAGTGGCCTCCAGAACATACTTTTTTTTTGAAGAGGCATCGAAAGGATGTCCCGCTGCGAAGTAGCCGGATTTCGCCTTCAATGCTTATCGCAGGAGCCTGCGGGCCGCCGCGGGCTCCACCACTTCCCCGCTCCACCACTTCCGGTTGGCCACGACTGGACTGTCCTTCATAGGCCGCCGAGAGAGTCGCTCGCCTCGCTCGATTTTTTTTTGCTTCATCCTTCTCTTTTTGCTTTCCTGCGTTTCAAAAAAACTATGCATGTAGGGATCGCACTTGACAAGATGGGCGTCCGTCGCGGCGGGATCTCATCTCAGGGTTTGGTTTAAGTTTCAGGGGTTAATAGGGTTCTCCAATTACCCCGCTCCAACAACTTTTCGACGCACTAAATAGCACTAGAATCCGTCCCAAATCTGTAACGCAAAAGGCGTAGTCTCTCTGTCTCTCCTTTCACTTTTGCCATGCTTGCCTTACAAATTCATGTAACAGTTGAGGGTGTAACGTTTGAGAATCCCATAAGGTGCAGACTCAAGATTTTAGACAAGGAAAATTCCAGAAGTACATCAAAAATCGAGCACCATGTCCTGTGGATTGCTCTGGAAGATGGGAAAGATAGTACCTCCCTGTTCTCATATTGGCCCGGCCCGGGCTGCGGTCCCTATCAAATGTAAAAATGTCTGGGTCTGGAAGAGTGCCAGACTTGTCATGCAGATTTTGCATGAAATATGACGTCTGTAATGCATAACCTGGCATCACAGATTTTTAGCGGGCTGTCTGATGCGTATCCCGCATGAGAAATACCCTCTCCATGTAGCTGCACAAACTGGACCCCTCTTGCTTGTCATGCAATACAGATTTTTTTAGAATGCAGAGACAGCATCACAAGTTGCAACCTTCCAGACCCAGACATTTTTGCAGTTCATAGTCCCCTTTTCTTCACCATATCCTCTGCGTCGCCTTTCCATCTGGAGATCTATGCACTGCAAAAACAAAATTACTCTTTCTGGGGTCGTTCTTGTTGCGCAGAGCGTGAGCGCATGACAGTTCTTGACAGCTCCCTCTACTTGCAATGCTAATCATGCTAGAGTTCCTGTAGTAAGGCTGCAATAAAACCGAAATCTTCACCATGTTTTTGCGATGGATATGTCCTTCATGAAGGCGAACCCAAAACCGCTGCATGACTCGTTGATGCCACGCGTCCCGGCTGGTGGAGTAGATTTTGTTACACGTCGAAAAACATGCGGCCACGCAACACAAATTCTATCTTCAATGCGAATTATGCATGACAAAACTTCAAAAAGCAGCATTATACTCTTCTTTCCCGGATCCGCCCATGTTGAGACCTTGTCGTATTTCCCTGGTGCTTATGAAAGTGCCTAACAACTCCCTCTCGCCCTCATGATTTGCATTGCATGAACAGCAAGACAAGACGGGGCTTTCTCATCAAAAATCGAGCACCATGTCCTGTGGATTGCTCGGGTCATGGGGTGACGGGACAGGCGGTTGGCTCGGGTAGGCTTCATCTAAGTGGCGGCTTTGTTCAGTGGGTCCCACACAACCGGAAACGCCGCCGGCTTCGGCGTTCGTCTTCCATCACCACGCAGAGCAACACCACGACAATAAGTACTCCAAGCATTCTGCGGCCAGGTCTTTCCGGATCCAATGAGCAATGGCCGTCTCTTGGAAAGTCGCGCCGCGGGGGCAATCCAAGGGCCCCCCTTTTGCCTAAGAAAAAGCACTCCCCTTGGCGTTCCTTCCCCCGACCTAAAATGGCCGATTTCGGAATCAAAAAAAGTACCCCCCTCAGGCACCCCCCTGGAGGGAGGCCCCTGGGTGCCGCCTGTCGCCTTTATAGAGTTTGGGCCGGCCTCGTTTGTAAACGAGCCCCCGAGCCAGTTGCGCCAAAGGCGAAACACTTTTGCGGCAGATGCGCGCTTGCCCTTTCTACTCGAGAAGGAGTCGCGGCTGGTCCGGGCCGATAGGCCTGCAGAAACAAATGGGGCGGGCCGCTACTAGCACTTCTAGCCGCAACGCAGACAAATCATCTCGCCCCGCCGCCACGACCCCGCGTCAGGGGGGTGCTCGATTTTTGATGTACTTCTGGAATTTTCCTTGTCTAAAGATTGCCACCTCTCGCCATGTCCTGTGAATTGCATCTGGGGGCCGTGGGGCGGCTGGATATGGATTCTTGCAAAAATGTCTGGTTCTGAAAGAATGCAACGTCTCATGTGAAGATGCACAATTTGCATGACGCATGATGTCATCTGTGATGCATGCACTAGCATCAAAGATGTGATGATTCTGCGAGGGTGGTCTCCTGAAGATGCCCATCTCGCATGAGAAATAATGCCCACTCACCGTAGCAAAAACTGGACTCCTTTATTTGCTGTTCAACTTCAGGCAATGCATATAGTACACGATATTTTTGATATTTACGTAGGGTCACTTCCAAAGGGAGAAGGTAGCAAGCATCACAAGTTGCATCCTTTCCCTGCCGGACCCAGACACGTTTGCATTTGATCGTGGAGTGCGTGCAGCAAGTCTTGTGTTACGCCATGTGATCCCGATAAGGGGACAATCACAGGCTACCGACAAAAAACGCGTTGGGAACAATTCGGGGGGGTGTGCCCCGGCAGTGAATCGCTAACCACCGGTTGCGTTCCAGAGCCGCCACCCTGTCCCGTGCCCGTGGATTGCGTATGGGGCCCGTGGGGTCCGTATCAATCGTAAAAAGCTGCTGTCGTATATCAACTGCAAAAATATCTGGGTCTGAGAAGTGTAATAATTCAACTTGTCATGCAGATTTTCCATGACAGACCCATGAGGTCTGGAATGCAGGGCTTAGCATGACAGACTCGGCGAGGTCCTCTCTGCCATGCCTGTCCTGCGTAAGAAACTCCCTTCCAACTTGGTCAAAAGTGGACGGCTTTTGGCACTCATACAACACAGATTTTTGCATGCTTCAGATTTGCCATGACAAGTTACCACCTTTCAGACATCCAGGAATAGTTATTTGCAATTGATACTGTGCTGTAAGCTTACGACACAGATGAATGCGCGCGAGCACTATTCTGAGTAAAAACGCCCCCACCCCAAGTTTCTCTGTGCTTTATTTTGGTCTCTTCCAGTACATAAACACCCCAGAGCTGTGCTTTATTTTAGTCTCTTCCAGTACATATACACCCCAGAGTTGTGGTTGAATTTCGTGGTCTTTTCCAGTACATAAACACCCCAGAGTTGTCATGCACATCTACACGCCAAAAAAGTTTCTCATGCGGAGCCCCATAAGAAACATTTTCTAGTCGTGTTTGGGGATTTGTAATGCTAGAACCAGCATGATATGCTAGATCGGTGGTGCTGCTGAACTAGCTAAACAGGACCACACTACGAGGACAAACTTATCATGCGAAACAACCAAAGCTGGCTGATTTGTCCAGCAGATTTCCCATCTTGTCTCTGGTGTGGGGACGTTTTTGCTCAGGATAGAATATGCGCGAAGACCGAATCGGTTGTCTTGCATGTGTAGAACTGCGACCGCGGGGACCACTATGGTAGCTGCACGAAGCCTGGCAAGTTCCCATCTGCTTTGTCGCGGCAGTGTAGAAGAGCAAACTATTGGAGATGAAAAACACGCAAAGTTCCTGCTCACAATAAAATCAGCGTTACATACAACTTCCAGTGGAGCGCTTTTTTCGTGCGATTCCCCATGGAGTGCTTGCGGGGGCGCGTCTTGCGGTATGCATTGCAAATATAACGTAGAAGTACTGTAGTCTGGTGGGTCTGAAGTTGTGACGCAGCAACATGCTTACTTGATGGACAAAGAGACAATCTGGGGTGCGTGAGCAGTCTGCTGCTTTATCGTGCTGGATGATGGACGCACTTTCTTGTCATGCGCCACTGCGACAGAGTTCGGAAGAAGCCGAGGTGAGAAGCTTCGCATCTTGCTGTGATACCGTGCAGTAGCCTTTTTTGGCTGGTGCCTCAGTACAACCGGCTCAGACGGGCTCCTGGTGCTGGGGTCGGGCCCTCATCTGGAGCGGAGACGCTGTTCTTGAACAATAGGTGTAGGACATCCCCGTTTGTTCGGAGGGGGCCGCGGCCAGGTGAATAGTCTTTGCACCCCAGTTTGGCTCTGGGCCTCCAGTTATGCCGCAGCGCTGTCGTTTTAGATGGTGCAGCGGAGGCCACGACCTAGTATGCTTGTACCACGCACCTCAAGTAAGAGGAACGCGCTGCAAAATTAAGATGAGCGCGCCCGCGCGCTCTCGTCGTTTTATTCCCTTCTGCGACTTCTGCCGCGTACATTTTTTGCCGATGCATGGCTCCGGAACCGCATACTAGAAGTTTGCGTCTTGCGCGCCACCGCTTCCGTGGCTTGTTTCCAGCTTCTGCCTGCACTCATGCGCTTGGCTGTGCCCGCTTTTTTGGCGGGCCATTCTTGTTCTGATGCCGGTCCCTTCTCGTGAATCACGAAGCAATCTCGATTCGAGTCGCATTTTGCAAAGATCAGCGCGACACGTCGTCTGTATCTACTTGCCAGAAGACCCAGGAGATCTACTTTAATATTTGCATTTGATATAATGACAGTGGGGCAGTCACACGCGCACACGTCCAAAATGGACAGTTGAGGTTAATGGTGGGGTCTTATCCACCTGTGCAAAAACGTACAACCGGCTCCAGTCCCAGACGGATTTGTCATCCAAAATAATCTAACCAGCATCCATGCCTGAATTCATCTTCAAATGTGTCTGATGCGCAGCCCCATGCGAAGCTGCACCTTCTAATGCTAATATCTGGAAGCGTTATAATTTCAATTTCATGCTAGAAAAAATGATGACGGACGAGCTAGTAATCAATGCTGGATTCGCAGCTACGTGGCTCCTCTGACACCACTAGCGAAACACGACTCCCCCGCAACGAGCCCAAAAAAGAAAAAGGTGTCATCTTCATGCGCAACAGCCATAAGCTTGTTGATTTGTCGTGTGCTGCTGGCGGCAGAATGAGTTCCCATGATCTTGACTCTGGGGTTTGGGCCGCGTTTTTGCAAAGGATAACTCTGCTGGGGAGGTCCCTCTGAAACTCAAGGTTGCCAGATGCCTGCGTGTTACTGCCAGCCAGGATGTGCGTGCGGGCCACATCAGAACTGTAACGGCGGCAATTGTTGCTCTGGCGGGATAAGCGACTGGACCTGCTTCAGGAAAGATAACGGGTGGTCAGAGTGTTACGCTGATGAAAATAACCCAGGGTGTCACAATGGGATGCACGGTCCCTGGGCGGGAGGCTGGTGGGAGTGCAAAAACATGAAAAATGGTCGGATTCATTACGCGAGGTAAAAAAGTCTTCTTCAAATAATCCAGCTAAAAAATCAGCCGGAATGCTGATATTTTGGTGTTGTGGTGTGGTCCCGTATCAATGAGCGGTACGAGATTGTGCCAAGATTGCGTAAAAAGTAATTAATATGTTGGAGGCGAAACAAGATTACTTACGTAGACTGAGGAGAGAGCGACGGCCGCAGTTTGATTTCTCCATTACCAAAGGAAGACGCGAAGGCCGCAGTTTGATTTCTTCTCACCAATAGGGAGACGAGCTGGAGCTCAAGAAGATGAACAAGAACACTATTATCGTTATCGACGTGAAAAAATCCAAATCTGAAATACAAATAAGTACCTCAATCCGAGTCTTTCATCATTTTCTCACTCGTACAGCTTGACGACGCGAATTTTCAATTTGAATTTATGTTGGACGACTGTAGTCCCGATGTTCCATGAAGATGCTGAATGCGAAACAGCATGAAGATCCATCCACTTTTGGTCCCGTTTGGACGCAAGATGATCAGATGATGATGATGTCCATAGCTCCTGTTTGAGCATATTCCAGTACATGATGATGATGTACTCAGGTCGTGTTTAGACGACGAAGCATCGTGAATCCCGATGCTATGGCACGACTGCAATCAATCGATACATTCGGAACCTTGTACGCTTTCAGGCTTAGGAGTTGCACGCAAGAGCTGAAGGCTCTCGGAACGTAAACACACCGCACGCGAACCCGCGTGCTATGCTTACCACGCATCACATTCTGCACTGTATGAAGATCGTGAGTTCATTCCAACCGACCAATGATCATGTCGCATTCGCACCCAGGCTAGAGAGATTCTGAGTGGCTTTCAGACATTCTCCTAACCCTCGAGCCGACGAGCAAAACGCACACCCATCGGGAGTAAACGCCAAATCTCTCGGTGATAAGAACGCAAAAATTTTTGGGTCGCAACCGGACGGCTACTACGACAAAAATCGCCAATCTCTCGGTGCAGCATGGCGACCGGGGACGGCGATCCGACCGGTACTGGCGGGGGTTTTCCCGCTGCGAGCGACCACCACCAGCCCGACACCACCTCTCTTGGCGACATGGGAGATGGACTGCTGCAGCAGCAGCATGCGGATTTGCTTTCGCAACAACAGCAAAATCCGAATGTCGGGGTGCAGCAGCAGCAGTACGCGTCTACCGGTTTTGGTGGACAACACGCAGCTGCAAGCAGCACTGGTGGACAAGGACAGCAATTCCAAGCCCAATTTCAATCGAATTATAATGCAAATCAAAACTTCAATTTGAATCAAAATGGATCGAATTTCTCCACTCTGGGCGGAGGCCCATTACAAAACTCAACCGCCGCGCAGCAGCAACAAGGCGCTGCGGACAACACCAACATCATGATGGTGATCAGCCAGATGATGGTGGCGCAGGCGGAACAAAGCAGACTGCAGCTACAGCAGATGCAGGCGCAGCAAGCGCAACAACAGCAGCAATTCCAGGAGCAATTCAACGCGCAGGAGCGAAGGCATCGCGAGCAGATGCAAGCGGAAAAAGAAGCACGCCAAGAGGCGGAAGAAAGAGCGACGGCCGACCGCGAAGCGGCGGAGAAAAAGAAAAAGGAAGACGAAGAGCGACACAAGGAAGAAAAAGAAGCGACGGAGCGACGACACAAAGAAATGTTGCGTCAGCAACAGGAGGAAGCTCGTCTCGCACAAGCCGAGAACGAGAAGCAGCGCAAGCTTCAATCCGACCAGTTCTCCGAGACCATGCTTAGAAATTTAGTAGTTCGCGCTTCGGTTCCAACTCTCGACCAGAAGACCGAATATCCAGACTGGAAATTCAAAGTCGAGGGCGAAATAGAGCGTCTTGCGGTAACGAAAGAAATTGCCGACAAGATGAAAGGAAAGGAAACCCATCTGGACCCCGTGCAGACAAAGAAGCTGCATGCGTTAGGTGCAGAGGTCAAGAAGCAGCTGAAGGGCGCGGCTCTTCAGCGGTGCAACGGTATCAACGCTAATGATATCATCAAGCTTTTGACGGAATTAGAGCGGTGGGCTGGCGAGTCACAGTCCGAGTACGACAAGACCACGACGGAACAAAGATTCACGCAGGAAAACTGGGACCCGAAGAAAATGGGTCTCGAGGCGTGGGTAGCAGACAAGTTCCGTCTTGCTCGCTTGTTACCCGAAACCTGCCCGGAAGGACCGATTATGGAATCTCGCATGAGGGCAGTGCTTCTCGGCGGAATGCCGAAGTGCTTCGATCCCGTAGTTAGCAGGTTACGAACAAAACCACCAGCGACCTGGCAAGAAATCGAGAAGGAACTAGTTGACTGGGACAAAACGGAATCTGGAAAAGACAAGGACGAAAGCAAGCGAGGCTCTGTCTTTGTAACCATCGAGGATGTCCAGTCCCAAATCAAGGACGCTCTCGATAAGAACGGCTCTGCTTCTGCATCTTCCAGCACGAGTAACGACTACAACTACTGCGAAGAGGCCGACTTGTACTACACCTACGGTAAGAGCAAGAACTACAAGGGCGGTAAGCAGCAGTACGGTTCGCACCCGTACAACGGAGGAAAAGGCAAGACCGGCAAGCCGAAGCAGTGCTGGTATTGCTGGGGTTACAACCACACGCAGTACGAGTGCAGAAAGAAAGCGGCCGACGAAGCAGCAGGAAAAACCGGGAACAACAAAAACAACACGGGTAACAACAACCAGACCAACGACAACAACAACAACTATAACAACAAAGGAAAAGGGAAGAAACGGTCCTGGTGAGACGAAGCTCCGAATCTCGTATCGGAGAATGGAAATTTTTCAAATTTTGACGAAAATTCTTCTGCTGATTCAGAGGGTGGGACTGCGGTAGATTACGACTACCACGACGAGGCAGGCCCATCAACAGTACTACTTACGCGAATAAGCGTGCTGACCGTCGAAGATTTCCGGGGGGGTGAAGCCGCTCACCACCGGTCTTCTTCTTCAACATCTTCATCTTCATCCTCATCACTCATTTACATAGACTCGTGCGCAAATCGAACTCTGTCCCGCGTCAGGTCAGACTTCGAAACAGTAGAAGAAACAGCACGGGTTAAACTCAACGCAGCTAACGGACCAGTCCAGCAATTAGGTTCTCTCGGAACTTTCAGGCCTAACACATACGGGCTGACGGTAGGCGTCTACTTCCCAATGCTCCCACTAGATCGAATAGTTAGCACTTTAGATCTCCGCGCACTTCTTTGGGAAGTTCATCTCCTGCCCCAGTCGCAGTATCTTAGATCCCAAGTTTCGGGCGGCCGGGTCGAGGTCGTCGATTGCCCAACGCGCAAACTACCAACCGCGCCGGTAGTTTTTCAACCTAGGGAGATCGGAGACGTCATGCTCTGCAACGAGGTGGAGTCTGCGTCACCGGTCACAGCTTTGCCAACGCTGACAAAGCTGCAAGCACATCGTCGTTTGTGCCACCTTTTCAACCACGAAGCACCATTTCCTACTTCTTGCGACTGTCCAGAATGCGCTCTCACCAAGGGTCGCAAGAAGGGCAGTAAAAACGAAAGAACCACTACCCTTGCCGCGCAAGGCAGCACAGCACCACTTCGACAAATCAACACCGACTTCTACGGACCAATGCCGTTGGAATCAATCCGGCGGTGCAAACTCTTTCAAGTTTTCATTTGTGACGCAGTCGCTCATGTTTGGGTCTTTCCAGTTCGACACCGCAACGAATGCGTCGAACTCGCGCAAAAACTTGTCACGCAAGTACGAGCAACAGATGGCGAATTCATCGGGGAGAAAGTAATCCGGATCATTCGTTCTGACAATGACACAGTTTACCGATCGGAGGAAAATTCTTCACAGTTGCAGCAGCTCGAAGTTGACAAAGACCACAGCATTCCCTACTGTCCTCAACTCAACGCAGTAGCGGAGCGGTTCATGCAATCACTCGGAACTAATCTCAGAGCTGTGCTCTGTGGGGCCGATCATAGACTTCACTGCTACGCAGGAGAGTACATAGCAGCAGTCTGGAACAGGATTGCACGAAAAGAGTACAAGCGCGCTCCTGAGTATAACGGCATGTCACCACTACAAGCACGACTTCGTAGAACTGATCCCAAGAGGAATAGCGAACCAGTAGCATTACGAGAAGAACGCGAGCAGTGGCAGAGTCAGCTGCGTCGTTTCGGCTGTCTCGCTTACGTAATGCTACAGCCACGCGAAAAGGTTCAGAAAGGACAACCGAAATACCGAAAAGCAGTATTTCTGGGTCTCTCGAAAAACAATTCTGCCTGGCTCTTCGGAGTAGTACAAAAAGACAGCAGGACAGCAGCAGGCACGAACTGGCAGGAAATCGAGAGCAGAGACGCGAAGTTCGTTGAGGAGGTCGTCATCTCCGACATCGACAAACTACTACCAGAAACCGAAGGCGTTTACGTAACAGACGAGAAGTTGCTTAGTCTTGCCTGTGGTTCGACCTGTGGGCCGGGTTCGGTGGTTCAGGTTGCGCAGCCTGGTGCCTCGGATCTGCCTGCGGGTCGTGACTCGAGTGGGATTGACACTTTAGCACCGGTAGCACCATCGCGCAATAACAGTAAACGTAGTAAGGATTCCGATTTTGTAGTGGAGATCCCTCCTGCCGAGCAGAAGCACGATGCTGCGGAGGAGGAAGATAGTAGTGACGACGAGAAAGAAGAAAAGTCAGTGGCGATCCCGCATGGTAGGAAAGACGCGAGCCCTGAGGTTGTTTACGGACCGCCAGTACGGCGCGGACGTGGCAGACCGCCAGGAAGTAAGGACAAGAAGCCCAGGAAGAAAAGGCAGAAGAAGAAGCAGAAAAATCGCAATAATCATTCATCTTGTGACGCACACTTCGCGCGTGCTGATTTTGAAGCTCAATTTCGCGAAAACTTCTGCGCCTTTGCCGATTTGAATTCCCTGGAAGAAGACGAGCAATTTATAGAGGCATTTCTGATGATCACCATGGCGGAAGCGCTTCGAGCACCAGACGCACCATCCTGGTTGCAGGCGATGGACAGAGAGAAGCTGAAGCAGGAAGCATATAAAGTATGGCGAGAGTTAACTGATGAAGAAATGAAAAAGGAAAAACAAATCTTGCCAATCGCGATGGTGCTAACGAGAAAAAGAGACGGATCCTACAAGGCGAGGGCGGTAGTTCTAGGAAATCTCGTCAAGGACGATGGGACGACAGAGATCTACGCGCCGGTAGTAAGTTTCGCAGGTAACAGATACCTGATGACCGAAGCAGCAGCAGAGGGCGACTACGTGTTACCGTACGACATCGACGTCGCGTTTTTGCATGCGGAATTAGACGAGGAGGTCTATGTCCGACTACCACCACAGTGGGTCAAGAACAACGAGAACAGCGTAAAGCGACTAGTCAAGGCACTCTACGGACTCAAGCAGAGTCCTCGCGCATGGTTCAAGCGGTACGAAAAAGAACTTCTTGCGCTAGGCTGGGAGCAAGCAAAAGACGAACCAGGACTCTGGAAGAAGCCCAGTGTCAAAGTTCCCAGCAAGTTCCTCAAGCTTTCAGTCTACGTAGATGACAATGTCGGAACAGGCCCGCACAAGCAGGAACTCGACCAAGAGTTAGCGCAAGTCATGCAAAAGTTTCCTGGTAAATACATTCCCTACGACGACCTAGGAGAGGGATGGAAAAGATGGGACATTCTCGGTGGCGACTTCATCTACCGCCGAGAAACTCGCGAACTCAAAATCAACATGAGTCGTTATATCGTGAAAATGGCCGAGCGTTTCGGTCTTAAGGAGGCAAAGCCGGCATCCTCCCCATCGTTTTCCGAAGCAGCACTACTTGAAAACGAAGACAAAGTGGTCAAATTTCCATTCCGTGAAGCAGTAGGCGCACTTCAGTGGTGTGTCAGCGTGTGTCGGGCGGATGTGTGTCAACCAGTGAACACACTCGCCAGGTGCGTGAGTAGACCAACAACACGAGCAAAGGTCAATGCCATCAAGAAGATAATCCGTTATCTCGTCGCAACGAAAGACGACGGCGTTACGTACAGCCCGGCACAGGAACAGGAATTTCGAAAAATTTATCAGGATTTGCTTCCCGCTGGTGATCGTCTTCCTCACTCGAACACCTTCGGCGATGCATCATTCGCATCAGATTCAGTCACCATGAGATCAGTCAGCGGCACTGTTGTTTACTACAGATCAGTCCCGATCATGTGGAAAAGTTCGAGACAAACAGTGCGAGCGTACAGCACAAGCGAAGCGGAGCACATCGCAGCTAGTGACAGTCTAGTTGTGACGGAAGGCGCTTCATTTTTAGAGTTCTTCAACCCCCACCCCCTCAGCGACGAAATCGATTTTCGTCTATGGTGTGACAACACGTCTGCAATTTCGGTTGCTAACGCGAAGGAAACACGACCAAAGAGTCGTCACTACGCACTTCGCTGGTGGCGTGTGAAGGATGCAGCAAAACGGTTGTGCTTTTGTCCGACTCATCTGCAGCGCGCGGATGCTTTGACGAAGCAAGCCACGAGGGCACAGCGCAACATGTTGATCCACACGACCGAAATCTCGCCTGAGTTCGATGACGACTACGACGATGACGATACGGAGACCGGTACGGCTCTCCTGGTCTGGGTAATGCCGTAGCCATTTGCCAACGTTCGAACTGCTGCGGGGGGGAATGTTGGACGACTGTAGTCCCGATGTTCCATGAAGATGCTGAATGCGAAACAGCATGAAGATCCATCCACTTTTGGTCCCGTTTGGACGCAAGATGATCAGATGATGATGATGTCCATAGCTCCTGTTTGAGCATATTCCAGTACATGATGATGATGTACTCAGGTCGTGTTTAGACGACGAAGCATCGTGAATCCCGATGCTATGGCACGACTGCAATCAATCGATACATTCGGAACCTTGTACGCTTTCAGGCTTAGGAGTTGCACGCAAGAGCTGAAGGCTCTCGGAACGTAAACACACCGCACGCGAACCCGCGTGCTATGCTTACCACGCATCACATTCTGCACTGTATGAAGATCGTGAGTTCATTCCAACCGACCAATGATCATGTCGCATTCGCACCCAGGCTAGAGAGATTCTGAGTGGCTTTCAGACA